GAGTATAGTGGCTTTGTAGTAGAGTTTGATGTCTGGTATTGTGATCCCTCTACTTTGTTTTTCCTTCTCAAAATTGCTGCGGCTATTCGGGGTGATTTATGGTTCCATATAAATTTTTGAAATGTCTGTTCTATTTCCGTGAAATATGTCATTGGCATCTTAATAGGGATTGCGTTGAATCTATAAATTGCTTTGGGTAGTATGGACATTTTGATGATATTAATTCTGCCAATCCATGAGCATGGTATATGCTTCCATTTATTTGTGTCTTCCTTAATTTCTTTCTTCAATGTTGTATAGTTTTCTGCATACAGGTCTTTTACCTTTTTGGTTAAATTTATTCCTAGGTACTTTATTTTTCTTGTTGCCATATCGAATGGTATTAAAAAACCTATTCTTTCACTTCCCTCATTGAAAGTGCTGATAAACTCCTAACTTTGGTGTTTTCATGATCTCTAGGCAAAGCCCAGAGAAGACAGGCAGTCATTAGGCAGTGTGTTGAATGCTGTGACGGTGGGGTCACATAGGGAGCTATGTGAACACAGAGGAGCACACATAGCTCAGACGTGGGGAAACAGCCAGTGTCCTTGAAGTGATAGCTAAGCTCTGGACCCTGGGATAAGAAGTAATTACTCGAGTGAGATGAGGGTAGTGGAGCAGGAGTATCCAGGTGGCACCAACCCCACCAGCAAAGGCTCAGAGGTGAGAGAAAGTAGGGTGCACATCCTGGAAGCTGAAAGGGGCGTTGCAAACTCATGCCCACATGTAGGCCAGCTGAATAAAGCAAAGGAGTGAAGCTGCCATGTGGAAGAGAGAATAGGGAGTAGCTGGAACTGTAGCAAACTGGAGAGCAGGTGCCTTGTCTAAACTGCTTTACAGATGAGAAAACCAAGGTCGCAGCAGTTGAGTACATGCCCAGATATATACACAGAGTAAGTGGCAGCACCAGGCATTGGACCCGGGAAATCTGGCACCAGGATGGGCATGGAAAGAGGGAAGTCTGAAGAAAGGTGAAGGCAGGGTGGGTGGGCAGCGGTGGCTCCCTGAGACCTCACCGTCCTTTCCCTCTAGCTGAGCAGCTCACTGTGGTGGGGAAGATCTCCTTTAATCCCAATGATGTGCTGGGCCGTGGGGCCGGAGGGACCTTCGTTTTCCGGTGAGTGGCAGCCAGGAGCCAGGCTAAAGACATGGCCCTCACAGCTCTTTCAGTTACTGCCCCTCGGAGAGCTCTTCTCTCAAGGATCCCCCAGGTGGGTGCAGGCTGGTGCCTCACACCAGCCCTAACCTTTCCTCTATCTGCCCTCTCCGAATCTCCATTCTCCCACCTACCAGAGGACAGTTTGAGGGGCGGGCAGTGGCTGTCAAGCGACTACTTCGTGAATGCTTTGGCCTGGTCCAGCGGGAGGTCCAGCTGCTACAAGAGTCAGACAGGCATCCCAACGTGCTCCGCTACTTCTGTACAGAGCAGGGACCCCAGTTCCACTACATCGCCCTGGAGCTCTGCCCTGCCTCCTTGCAGGAGGTGAGGCTGGAGTGCAGGGGGGTGCAGATACATGGCCTGCAGGTCCTGGGCTGCAGACTGACCATTGCCCCTCACTGCTCCTCAGTACGTGGAAAGCCCAGAACTGGACCGCTGGGGCCTGGAGCCTGAGACAGCACTGCAGCACCTCATGTCTGGCCTGGCCCACCTGCATTCCTTACACATAGGTATCCACCCACCGCCTGTTCCCTACTGCCACCCTGCCTTCCTCGCCTTCGCTCTCAGCTGCCTTTTGCTCCTACAGTGCACCGAGACCTGAAGCCAGCCAACGTGCTCATCACGGGGCCTGACAGCCAGGGCCGAAGCAGGGCGGTGCTCTCTGACTTCGGCCTCTGCAAGAAGCTGCCAGCTGGCCGCTGTAGCTTCAGCCTGCGCTCAGGTGTCCCCGGCACAGAGGGCTGGATAGCGCCTGAGCTCCTTCGGCTCCGGCCCCCAGACAGCCCTGTGAGTTGTCCGGTCACCCTGGCCCAGTGCCTCTCATGCCCAGGCTCCACATCACTGCTATGTGAGCTTGAACCTGTTTCTTCATCTGCAAAGTGAGATAATTAATCCTTTCTTACCTAGAGCAGTGGCTCTCAACCAGGGACTCTTTCACCACCTAGGGGGCACTGGGCAATGTATAGAGATATTTTTGGTAACCATACTTGGTGGTTGGCAGCAGGGGTTGATACTGGCATCTGGTGGGTAGACACAAATGATGCTGCTAAATATCCTGTGACTATCCCTCCATAAGAAAATATGATCAGGCCCAAAGTGTCAATAGTGCTGAGGTTAAGAAACTCTGAGTTATAATGCTTTTAACTCTTCACTGTTCTGCAGAATCACTGGATAACTGAGAAAAAAAAAAATCAGTTGCCCAATCACCACATTCAGTGATTACAGTCTTATTAGCTGGGGTAAGGCCTCAGGGGGTTTTCACATGTAGCCAGGGTGGAGAACCACTGGGGTTGACCCTCTGGGGAGCATCAGATGAGCTAATATAGTTGAAGCACAGAGCAGTGTCTAATTCCAGAGACACTTGAGTTGGAGGCCCCAGGAGTACAGATTACTGAGCCCTCAATGTGTGTGTAGACGTTGTCGTCATGAGCATAGATGAGAGTAGCACAAAAGGACAGTCACTAGGCAAAGTTACTCCCACCCCTAAAGTTTAGAGAAAGTAGAAGTGGTAATCTGGAGGCCCAGGGACCACAGGAACAGTTAGGAGCCTGTACAGGTTCTTTTGGTTTTTAATTAGTGGCCAATATTTTAACTTTTGGGAAATTACGCATAAATATGTGGGTTCCTAGATTCTCTCGAGAAATGAAAGCTCTAACACCCCAAGAGGGTTTCCTGAAGGCAACCAGCCAGGGCTCAATACCAGCTGCTGCCTGTGGACGGAGCCCATGCCAGATCACAGAGTCCTCTCTGCCGCCTTATTGCATCATGCCTGGCCAGCTTTGCTCAGTGATGTTACCTGCTAGATCTGAAGGAATGACTCTTGGAAACCTGAGCTAGAAGCTCAGCAGGAACAGAGTTTGGATGAAAACCATGAACCCTTTTTAATGGTGCAGGAGGAGGGGATTTAGGGCCAAGGAGATGCCTCTCAGGAAGCACCCTTGAGCTCTACTCTGACCCAAACTCCCCATGGGGGAATTCAGCAAAGCAGGCTTCCTGGAAGCAGACTTCCTCATTTTCTTTTTTCTAATCCCAGACCAGCGCAGTGGACATCTTCTCTGCAGGCTGCGTGTTCTACTATGTGCTTTCTGGTGGTAGCCATCCCTTTGGAGAAAGTCTTTATCGCCAAGCAAACATCCTTACAGGGGCGGGCTGTCTGGCTCACCTGGAGGAAGAGGCCCACGGTGAGGGGGACTTTGTCCAGCAAAGGGAGGAAACAGGGCATGAGTCTGGGCAGTCTAAAGCTATCCCCTTTCTCCTATAGACAAGGTGGTGGCCCGGAGCCTGGTTGAGGCCATGTTGAGCCCACAGCCGCAGGCACGCCCCTCTGCTCACCAGGTGCTGGCCCACCCCTTCTTTTGGAGCAGAGCCAAGCAGCTCCAGTTTTTCCAGGTCAGGGGAAATCCTGGGAATGGGCTCAGGAAGTCTCAAGTTTAGATTCAGAGGAAGAAAGGGGAAGCCAGATTGATGGGGGTGTGGAAGGGGGGATAGTCTGCCTGCACCAGGCAACCCAGCTCCTTATCTAAACCAAGATGGAGCACAAACTTCTAAACGTGGTCATTTTGACTCTCCAATCCACTCACCACCACCTCCCCAGGCCCAGCTGCCCCTTGGGTGAAAGTACACCGTTGCTTCCAGCCCTAGTTATCACTCATGCTATACCTGTGCCCAGAAAGCCCATTGCAACTTGTATGACCTTGAGCAAGGGACTCTACCTCTGAACAGGTTTGCTCTATAAAATGGAGGACAACAGTTCTACTTCATGGGTTGGCAAAGACCTGGTGGGATAACATGGGAGGGAGGAAAGGCTCCTGGCCTTGTGACCTCTGAAAGTGGTCACAAGCTCAAGAGCTCTACGGGGGTCCTAGGACGTCAGTGACTGGCTGGAGAAGGAGTCTGAACAGGCACCCCTGGTGATGGCACTGGAGGCAGGAGGCTCCGCCGTGGTCCGGGGCAACTGGCACAAGCACATCTCAGTGCCACTGCAGACAGGTAGAGGCCAGACGTCAGGTGGGCCAGGAAGGCCAAGGGAATTCCAGTGGGGACAGCTTTGCCAATGATTCCCCTGCCCACAGATCTGAGAAGGTTCCGGTCATATAAGGGGACTTCAGTGCGAGACCTGCTCCGTGCTATGAGGAACAAGGTGCGTTCCAGGGCTCGGGTGGGGCCTGGCTCTTGGAAAAGCCTGGTCACCACTGAGCCAGGACTCGACTCTAACCCCTCCAGAAGCACCACTACAGGGAACTCCCAAGTGAGGTCCAGCAGACGCTCGGCAATGTCCCTGACAACTTTGTCCAGTACTTCACAGACCGCTTCCCGCAGCTGCTTCTCCACACACACCGTGCCATGAGGAGCTGCGCATCCGAGAGCCTCTTCTTGCCCTACTATCCGCTGGCCTCAGCAGCCAGGGAGTCATGCCCAGGGGCAGGTGGGAGCTGAGGCCAGCCAGCAGAGGAGCTAGGCCTGGGGCTGAGGCTGGCCTCAGCATCAGAGATACTGATGTAGAGATGTGCTGAGAGCCCAGGTGCCAGGCACCTGTTGGAATACAGGAAAAAAAGATTCTCATGTGTTTAATGTATATAAAGACAAGGAAAGGACAGTCCTGAATCCAACAGCAATATTCTGTACATATAGCGGGGCTGAGAAGGAAGGGAAGGGGCCACAGAACCCACACGCGAACGTGTACAAAAATAACTTATACATTAGCCCCCACCTGCTATGGCTCTCTCCACAGCCACCAGGGCTGGGGGCACACTATAAAAACCAGCACTGTGGGAGCTAACCACAACAGGCCAAGGTGCTGGTGGAGGGGATAGGGGCACCAGTCCAGAGGGAACAGGTCTATGAGGAGGCCTTGAGGCGATTGGTGGCTGAGCGTGAGCTCAGCAGCTTGTCCACCATGGTGCGGGCATATCGCAGCCGGCTGGCCAGCTCCTTGGAGCAGCCGTATTCCTCCAGGAGGCTCAGGCGGTATGTGCGAAAGTCCCGCTTCTCGTTGATATAAGTCACAGCAGCCATCAATGGGCACAGGATGAGTTTGGTGTGGTCCTGTGAAGGAAGAAAGGAAGGGGATGGACAGACAGAGGAACAGTGGATTAAAGGTCTAGGTGCTAGTATAAGGAAGTATAAGGAAGACAGCTCAGCTAGTTGCGGAGGGGGCCTCACTCCACTCCCTTCCTGTTACCAAGGACAGGTCCCATGCCTCCCATTCCCCACCCAACTCTGTGAGCCCACTGACAGGTGCAGATCCCCAACTCTCCCTGCCCCAGTTCACCTGGAAGAAGTTGATCTGCACAGAGCCATTACTAAGGTGCAGGATGATGGCACTGCGGGTGCGAAACCAGGTACGCAGGTAGGGCAGCCGGGCCAGCTCATCACCTTCCCGTGGTGTGATATTGGCCCCTGCCTTCAGCAAGTGTTCACTCATGTAGTTTCGGAAATACTTAAGGAGGGTGATCTAGTTGGAAAGTCAGGGAGTCCAGAGTTAGAGCCCAGTCTCTGGCACACCACCCACTCCCAGCAGCACCGGGCCACATGGGCCAGCCAGCACTCGCCTTCTTTATCAAGGAGTTGGGATGGGAATTCACAGTGAGGTAGGACTCTGTGCCATCACGCTCTATGTACTGCAGGCTGTCACCATCGTTGTAGAGGATAAGGCGTGTCGAATCATTGAAGAGCACCCCTACGCTGTTGTCACACAGTTGATATCCTGGCAGTAGTGGGGGGAGACCTCAGAAAGGGGAGCAGGGAGCAGGGGGACATTGGGAGCTGGCACTGGGAGATCTGGGATGGAGATAGGAGAGCTGAGAGAGGACCTGACAGCCAAAAAAGGCAAGAGCCTGTAACAAGTCAAGGGACTGCAAGGCCGTCCCTGGGCAACCCACCCAGTCTGGAGGAAACCTACCAAGGCCATACTTGTCCGAATAGTCCACCCATTTGCTGACCCAGAAGATGGGGATGCAGGCCGGATCCTCAGCCTCCTCTGGGGTGGAAACAGACAGAGGATTGGTCAGGACCAGTCTCTTCATCTCAGGTGGTCCATACCAGGAAAGTTGCTGGGCACCCTACCTGGGCTCAGTCAAGAGGCCTGGGGCCACAAGCAGCAAAGCAAGGCCTCTGCTGCCAATAAGCTCAAGCAAGCAGCAGGACAGATACGTAAGCAGCAAGCTACAGTGCAGAGCACCAAGTTCCACTCATTCATTCAACTGACCCATTAAATCCAAGGCCTACTATGTGCTGGGCACTCTCACAGGTACAGTGATCAATGACCAAAACAGCCTTCATGAAGCCTGCATTCTAGTCACAGGGACAGACATTAGTAAAAATAAACAGAACCAAATATTTAAGTTGCTTCCATCATGGGAAGAGTCAGTGGCTGACAGATTATCCAGCTTTCCAGTTTTGAGTGATTAAAAAATTGTAAGAAGACAGACAATTCCAAATACATCAAAGCTCAGTGACAAAGCTCAGTTAAGCTCAGTGACAGCAATAATCCCTTCTTTTAAATACAGAAAACCAGTATGGAAACTCTGGAATACATCGGGTGAGAGATGTTATAGATAATATAAAGCAGGTATGGGGATGGCTATGACTAGGGACAGGAAATGTCCTTGAAGGAGGACAGCAGAGAAGACATTTAGAAAACATGGGAGTATAAGCCATGCAGTTATCTGTAGGAGGAACGTTCCAGGAGACAGGGCAAGCAAAGCCCTGAGGCCGAGCACTCCTGGGTCTGTTTTTCCAACTGTCTTGAAAGCCAATAAGGAATTCTTTGAGTAGAAGAAACAGGGTGTGAATGTGGACCAAGGCAGCACAGAGAGGGGCTGGGAGATGAGGCACTCGTGGAGACAGAACAGGAGCCAGAAAAAGGAAGGAGCCAGACCATGGGAGGGCCTTGGGCATCAGACTAACTCACCGGGATTTTAATCTGTAGGAAATGGGGGAACTAAACATACTATGGGAACAGAAGCCTGGACAAGCCACTATACTCTGCTGGCTGAGATTCCCCTGCCCTCTAGAGATGCCTCAGGCAACCCCCCACCCCAGACTGCTGCAGTGCCCACCTTGCCTCACCAGCCCCCGATCTGAGGGCTTAGAGGCATTGACGCTGTGCAGTTGCTGCAGCAAGTCACCAAGGTGGCAGTCCACTGCCTCACTGGTCTCCCGGACTGCTGGTTCCTCTTTTTCTCGGGGCTGCTCAGGTATGGGGTTCTCTGTGCCTAAGAGAAGATGAGACATAGTCATTAGCTGGGTGAAAAAGTAGCAGTTTGGGAGGGGCACAGGACCCCTTGCCATAGCTGGTACTCTCCCCAGAGAAAATACTTTAGCTGCAATTACTTTAGGTAAACAGTCAGTACCAGGTTATTAGGGCTCATGCTCTAAGGACAGGCACATGGTATTCGCTGGTACTTCCAGGACCAGGCCAAGCCCGTTAGGATGGTGTCACTGCCATACAGTGTTGGACACTCAGAATTAAAAGTACCTTCAGCATCCAGAAAAACGGGAGAGTCAGTAAATTGCAGACCAGCAGGATGAATTAAGCAGGCATTTAATGAAAATGTAAGCAATTTCCCACCCCAAAATTTGCTTTATATACTTACATATGACCAAAAAAGTCTCAAAAGACCCACATTGAAACTTTAACATGGGTTGTATTTGAGTGGTAGAAGCATGATTTTGTCTTTACACTTATATATTTCATTCTTTCCCCACCCATATGTGCTCCTTCTCCTTGCATAATATCAAGCTCTTCTTTAAAAAATTTAAAGATCACCCTGGCTGGTGTGGCTCAGTGGATTGGGCTCTGGCCTGCAAACTAAAAGGTCACAGGGTGCGATTCCCAGTCAGGGCACATGCCTGGGTTGCGGGCCAGGTCCCCAGTTGGGGGTGCCCAAGAGGCAACCACACATTGATGTTTCTCTCCTTCTCTTTCTCCCTCCTTTCCCCTCTCCCCAAAAATAAATAAATAAAATCTTTAAAAAAATAAAATATTTAAAGACCAGTGTTTTCAATTTTAAAAAAGTATGCTGTGATATTTAAATGTGAAATAACATTTGGGATTTGCCTTTGCAACTCTAACCAAAAAAGAGAGGAGGAGGTAGAATAAATAAAAATATAGGCAAATCACTATTGAAAATGGATGATAAATACATGAGGGTTCATCATACAGCTCTCTGTACTTTTGGGTAAGTTGAAAAATTTCCAGTGTAAGAAGTTTTTAAAAAATGTTTTATGTCCAAAAATTAAAGCCAAAAGAAGAAAGAAGCAATCCTTAAAATAACTCTATTACGTGAGAGCCCAAGGAATAAATATCCAAGTTCAGACTGACATAATCAAATAAATACATGGGAGAAGTGACAGCTCTTCCTTACAGAATTCCAATGAATAAATGTAGAAGGAGCAAAGAAAGAGAAACATCACTGTCAGAATACCACAGTTAAAATTGCCACACACAAGATCCACCAGGAGTGCTAAAATCAGTGGGTAAAGTTGGAAGAGAAACAGGACAGTCTCAAAGTAGCTCCAGGCAAGGCATGATTTCATTACAAAGGAAAAAATAATGACTGGAGTGGAGAAGCCCATCAGACACCACCATGACCAAGTGGTCGAGACTGACCTCACCAATAAAAGAAATGTCAAAAATTAACACCGAAAGAAAAAAGGGGAATCCTTAAACTAAGAGAAGCAAATGAACTTATATATTAAATTGATACATACTAAATTGATGCTATATCCACACAGAGAAAAAAGTTATTTCAAGTGATTCTTTTTCATACTACATATCTTTAGTGATTTTTTTCATATTACATATCTATTCCAAGGACAAACAGAACTGCAAGAAAATAAAACATCATATGTTGAAAAATGTATGTATACTAATATAAGAAAACAAGATTTTCAGCTTAAGAAAAAAGAAACACAAATATAAAGTCAAAGAAGTAAAAATCCTATAACATTATATTTGAATCAGACATTTAACAACTACCCAAAGAAAAGTAGTTACTTCATAGTGGAGAAAAATATTGCTATAAAACAAGATTATATCAACGTTAAATTTCCTGAACTTGATTAACTGTGTCATGTGCTGGGGTTCTGTAAAAGAATCTTTGTTTTGGTGAAATAGATGAAGTATTAAGTTGTAAAGAACAGGATATATATAACTTACAAGTAATTCAGAAGAAAGAGAGGGAGGGAGGAAGGAGAATGATGAAACAAATGTGAACAAAAATATGAATTGTGGCCCTGGATGGTGAGGCTCAGTGGACTGAGTGCTGGCCTGTGGACTAAAAGGTTGCCAGTTCGATTCCCAGTCAGGGCACATGCCTGGGTTGCGGGCCAGGTCCCCAACTGGGGGAAGGCAACCGATTGCGGTTTCTCTCATACATCATGTTTCTCTCCCTCTTTCTCCTTCCCTCCTTTCCCCACTCTCTAAAAATAAATAAAATCTTTAATTTTAAAAAAATGTGAGTTGTGGATCTGAATAAAGTGGATATAGGAGGTTTCTGTCTACTCTCACATCTTTTCCTAAGTTTGAAATATAACAAGTTAAATAAAATGCTGAAAAGACATGAATTGGAAATATCATAAACTCAAGATTTGCCCGCCCCCCGCCCAATGACATATTTCCTGATTCTGTCCTCCAAAGAGACCTAGAGAAAATAAAAACCTAATCAGTGGCAAGTGGTTTTATAAGAAAATGTCCATACTTTTAAAGAGAGGCACACTGAAATTTATTGGGACTAAATGATAAGGTGTCTGGGATTAACTTCAGAAACTTCAAAGGAACAAAAAAAGGATGAAGAGGATGAAGCCAGGCTTGCAGCCAGGCTTGCTTTCAATGCATTTATGCTGATAGTTGAGCTCACTTCAGACTCACAGTGACAGAACCTTAGTAACTGGAATCTGGTGGGTATGTGGGAGTACACTGCCTTAAATTCTACGTGAATATTTGAAATTTTTTGTATTTTTTCAATGAACCATACAAAAGTGATGTTAAGAATTTTTTCGAATAAGAATTTTTCAGGTGTGGCATTCAGTCCACTCTCTTCTTTATGGGCCTGTCAGGTCTGATCCAGCCTTGTTAAGGTCTGTCTTTCCGGACATTTTGCCATAGGAGGGTGGGGCCATGGACTCACAACCATGGCCTGTCCTACTGCATACCTGAGCTCTGGAGCCATCCACCCACACATCTAAAGCCTGGGCTCTTTTGGGCGGGGGGTGGAGGGGGATGTCTGTTGTCTACCCAGACCTTGTTTTACCTTTATTGAGGACTGAGAGAGGCTTCCGGTTGCTGGGGTCCAGGCTGCTGGGAGCAATGGAAAACCTGGGTGGAATGGTGAGGCACGTGATGGGGAGACGGGCTGGAATATAACCAGAGGTAAAAAACTCATCGTTGAGTAGCTCGTGGATGGTGGGGCGGGCAGTGGGATCGGTCTGAAGCATCTTCTGGATGAGGGAGGCAGCCACAGGATTGATGTGCTGGAGCAATGAAAGGAAGAGCCATAAGTGGGATGTGACAGTGCCTCCTTCAACTGCACTGCTGCAGGCCCATCCCACATGCAGCCCCCTGCTGTCAAATAGACCCTAATCAGTGACTGCAAACAACACCAAGTTCCCCATGATTAACTTTGCTGAGTTGACAAATGTCATACTCAGTTGTGAGAATGGTTATTTCTCCTTACTCCTCAAACTCGAGATCAACTTGAAGCCATTTTGTCCCCGTTTGCTACTACACAATTCAAGGTGCTCACCCCTAGAGTAGCACTTGAGAACACAGGCTTTGGGGTCACAGAGACATGGTTTAAGTCCCAGTTCCACCCCTAATACCAGCTGTGATAAGTATCTTCATCTATAAAACAGGGACATGGCACCAAACCTGGTGAGAAGATTCCATAGGTTATAGACCTAGCACAGGTCAAATGCATAGTCGCAGCTTTGCATTAACTCTGCACTCACTATGTGCCAGGAAAGTATCTTAAGCACGTCATATAAAAATTCACTCATTTACTTCTCACAGAAACATCTAAGGGGTGAAGGTCTCTATTACCACCCCTCTCTTGCACACAAGGAAACTGAGGCACAGAGAGGTTAAGTGCCTAAGAATACACCTATTAAGTGGGAGAGCCAGCACCCATACTAATGCAGTCTAGCTGGCTCAAGGACCCACATGCTGGACTACTCCATGCCGAGTCCGTCTGACAGTTAACCGACTATCTGTCATTGTGGGGATAGGGCTCTTTGGCTGCACACAAGGCAAAAACATGAAAGCACCCATGTGCCAGGCTTGTTTTCAATGCATTTATGCTGGTAGTTGAGGCCACTTTGGACTCACAGTGACCCATGACTGTGAGCACTTCTTGTATGCAAGGCAGTGTGAAGTGCTGCTCTCCGTTTCACAGATGGGGAACCAGAGCTCAGAAGATCCGGGCCACTTGTCCATCTGCATCAAGACAGTCCACTGCCAAAGCCTAAGCAGCACTTTTACTTCTGCCTCCTACTTCCTTCGCTTTTCTGTGTGTGTTTGTTTTCTACACATCTTCTGGGTTATATACCCAACCTTCAAAATCTAAAAAACTCTCTTCCCTTGGGGAAAAAAGTGCCTTTGTGTACATATGTCTTGTTCTGTATGTAGTTTCAGACATAAACCCTCTAAGACTCTGAGGCCACCTGAGGTGTGGGGTTGACTTGTTTCTTGTGTCCCCAGGTTCTAGCTAGACTCAGTAAATAGCTTTGTGGGGAAGGTAAACAAAATATAATAAATTTAAACTTAAGTGTTTTTAGTCACCTTGGGAATACTGTACTCATTCTTCTTGATCCGTAGGTAGGTCTCTTTTAGGCAAGATGTCTCAAAAGGTGGTTTGCCCACTAACAAGGTATACCTGTAAGCACAAGGTGGGATTTGGCTCAAAGCTGTCAGCCAAAACACAGATGCAGGACGAATCATCTCATGGCCAGAACAAAGGCCAGGCATCCTCTGGATACTCTGTCCCTGAGGACACGGCCCAAGCCCACTGAGCAGCCCCAGGAACCAAGACATTCACAGAGAAAGACCTCAACAAGTTATAGGTGACGAGAACAGGATTCCTATGGGCAATTTTCTAGGGCCCCAGAGGCCACCATCCAATACAGAACAATCAAGGTGGGGGCTAACCTGCTCCTGCACAGGCAGCTCTGCATTTACTAGTTCTGTACTTAGAGCCTGAAGTCTTCATCTGAAACAGCTCCACTGAAAAGTATGATGGCTACTGCCACAGCTCAGGCCCTCTGCCCACCACCCAGCTCTGAGGGCCTAGACCTGGGCAGGCTGCAGGCACCTCCTCCTGCCAGCTCTAACTCCTGGCCTAAGTCCTCCCACCCAATGCCACTTTCTAGATAGGTGGTTCTAACACTTTTGTGCAAGAGAAGCAACCAGGGATGTTAAAATCCAGATTCGATTTAGCAGTCTGGATCCTAAGGTTCTGCATTTCTAACAAGTTCCTGGGTGATGATGTGGCTGATCTGTAGACCACACTTTAAGTAGTAAAAGGCCCAGGTTGCAGGAATCTTACAGGATACACCAGTGACAAGAAAAGATAGAAAAATTAGGCTGTTTTTAGGTTGCCTGTCTTCTCGAGCAGCCTTTTCATAGGCAGATCAGTTAACAGGTCAGATGTCAAAAAGAGCCCCTAAGGAGGCCAGGTGGGTCTCCCAACTTACATGATACACCCGATGGACCACACGTCCACCTCGAAACTGTGTCCTTTCTTACTCAGCACCTCAGGAGCTATGTAATTAGGAGTTCCACACAGGGTCTTCTTCCGTTCCCCATCATATTCAACTTTGGTTGCCAGTCCAAAATCCCCTGGGTGAGAGGAAGGAACAGGAGGTACTCAGATGCTAGCCTCTGCCATTTGTCAATGCAGACAACTTAATTCAGGTTTGACCACTGAGAACTACGTTCATCTGATCCCTCAAGCTTATTCCTTGTATGCAACAAGGCCTACTTAGGAATCCTCCCACCCTGCTGGCTCAAGGAGGGGACCTTTCAATGATTCTCCTAGCTCCTCCCCTTAGAAAGAAGGACTAAGCTTCTAAAAGGGAATTGACAGGGGCAGAAAAACTCAGGGATCAAGCAAGTCCACTTTCAGGACTGCTATAGGCAAGTTTGTGAGGTAACAGGGAGGGGCTGGAACTGTGGCAAACCAGAGGGATTCAATAGGGAACAGCTGCTTTTCATCGCAGCAAGGAGTTACCCTGAGGAAATGCTGTCCCTGTACCACTGGAGTTTCCAATAGCTTAAAAGGAGCTCCAAATTTAAAAAATTAAAACTCATTTAAATTCTTTAAAAAATATTTTTTAAGAAATAACAAATGTTGGAGAGAATGTGGACAAAAGGGAACCCTCATACACTGCTGATGGGAATGCAGACTGGTGCAGCCACTGTGGAAAACAGTATGGAGGTTGTTCAAAAAATTAATAGGGCTACCATATGGCCCAGCAATGCCTCTTCTGGGTACCTACCCCCAAAATTTGAAAACACTTATTTTTAAAGACATGTACCCCTATGTTCATTGCAACATTATTCACAGTAGCCAAGACATGGAAACAACCTAAATGTCCTTCAAAGAATAACTGAATAAAGAAGATGTGGTACACATATACAATGGAATAGTACTGAGCCATAAAAAAGGACGAAATACTGCCGTTTGTGACAACATGGATGGATCTTGAAAGTATCATACTACGTAAAATAACTCAGACAGAAAAGGACAAGAACCATATGATTTCACTCATATCTGGGATGCAAAACAGAAATCAATAAACAAAAACAAATTCATAGACACAGATGATAGCATGGTGGTTACCAGAGGAGAAGGGAGATGGACAAAGGATGATGAGTAAAGGGGGTCAAATATATGATGATGGAAGGAGACTAGGCTTTGGGTAATGAGTATACAATGCAATATATAGATGATGTATTATACAGTAAAAGTGTACACTGAAGCTTACAGAAGTAATCAACAGCTCAGCCTTCTCCCTTCCTCCCCAATTTCCTTCCTATTTCCCCTCTCCCAGTATCCTCTTTATTCCTACTTTTTTGTCGTGGCAGGAACCCCTGCGGGTCCAGCACCTCACCTATTTTCACCTCCAGATCCTCGTTCAGGAAGAGGTTGCCTAACTTGAGGTCCCGGTGAATGACCCTGTTTCGGTGCAGGTACTGGCAGCCAAGGACGATCTGCCGCAGGTAGTAGCGGGCCTCAGGCTCGGTCAGTGCTTTCCGCCGTTTGTGCAGCTCTAAGAGAGACTGGGTGGGGGAAAGAGAGGAAGAAGGAAGAATGGGGGTGGGGAGCGGTGGTCGGTACTGAAGTTCAAGGGAGAAAGCGGTATTTTTAGGTAAAGGCAGCCCGGGACCCCACGCCCCCACCCTCCACCCACGCCATTTTCTCTCCAGGACAATTAGGATCGGAGTTCTCCCATAAACCTGGCACTCCCGTTTTCTACTAGCTCCTTCCAAAGCCCCTGACCTGGGACTCCTCTGTCAGCCCCACTTCCTAGGCTCAAAGTCCCCAGTATCCCCTTCCCGGGTCTTTTCGTGGCACCAGATCCCTTTCCTGAACCTCCGAGGTCTGTCTCCAACAACCCTCTCCCTGACCCAACCCCAATCCGGAAGTTACAGGTCCAAGGCACCCCTTCCCCAGGACTCCACCCTTGGCAACTCCGGAAGCCCTACCGTCCAATACCAGAGTTCTTCCCTGATCACCCCCACCTTCTGCCCAACACCCAGAGTCCAGGAGCCAACTTCCCTAGAAGCAACAGGACTCGGACTTCCCTTAACCGAAACCCCCTCCCTTAGCAGCTCCAAGCTCAGCCCAAGAGCTTTTCCACCCCTAACTCGAGGTTACCAGCACCTTCTCTCTAGCAGCTCCGAGCCCAGGGTTCCCGTTCTCCAGCAACTACGTGTCCGGGCACTCCAACCCCCGCCCCTGGGCAGCCTAGTCCCCCTACCGCGACACTTACTCTCCGGCGGCAGAGCTCCAACACCACGAACACGAAGTCGCTGTCCTCGAAAAAGCCGTGGAAGCCTACGACATGCTGGTGGGCGAGGCTGCGGTGAATGGATATCTCCATGGACATCTTCTCCTTCTGATGCGGCTTGAGCAGCAGCGACTTAGGCACGATCTTGCCCGCGAACACCTCCTTAGTGTCTGCGTCCGAGATCTCGAAGCACTTGGCAAAGCCACCCTTCCCCAGAAAGCGGCCCCGCAAATAGCGCCGCCGACTGCGTGGGTCCACTAGGACCTCTGGGATCTCTTTCCCCGGCGGGGCGGCCGCCGGGGCCCCCGGAGCGGCAGCGCCCGGGCCCCCGGCTTTCCCTGGGTCGGCTGGTGCCCGCGCCAGCTTCCCTACTGTTGCCGCCGCGCTCATATTCCCGGAGTTGCTCAGCGGCCCTCCAGGGTCTGGGAAGAGGTTTGACACCGCTGGACTCCTCCTCGAATTCAAACGCGGCGCCGGGAACGTTACAAAAGCCTACGCGCCAGTGATTGGCCGCGGGGATTTAAAATCCAAACCCGCCCGCCGCGCGGCACTCTGGGTGCGCTGGGCACCTAGCCGCCTTCACGCTTTACGCAGCGGGAAGGCTAGGGAAGGGGCGGGGGAGGAATTTGATTGACAGAAATTCACGAGCAGCAGACACGTGGGATGCCTGAGAAACGAGCCGAGCCAGAGCCAGAGTTCAGGGTGTCTTCTTCTCTTCGCGCACGGGAAGTACCTCTTTCCTAGAAGCTTTTCTTAACACCTACCTCCACCCCCATAACGTCTTCTAGAATATAAACTAAGAATAGAGACCCGGCAGCGCCAAGAGATAGCTTGGGAGAGCCTTGGAACCCGCCTCAGATACCATCGGCTCTCTTATGATATCCCCAATGAACTAAAATCTAAGTAAAAACAGGATGCTTGCCAGGAATTTGCATTTTCGTGTCAAGGTCCCTACTCCCCTCCTTCAAATAACAGCGGCTCCTATACCCCTCTGGATTACAGAGCAACGCTACTAAAAGTATGGTCCAGGGACTGCCACCATTACCATCACCTGAGAGCTTGTTAGAAAGGCAACTTTTCAGGCTCTGCTGCAGACCTCCTGAGTAGAATTTGCCTTTCAGCGAGACTGCCCAGGTGATTCCTACACACACTTAAGTTTGAGAGGCTCCATACCGGTGTCTCGCTTGCTCACTTCTGTATTTTCCAGTGCCTGAAAAAGCAGACCCTCAGTGTTGGTCAGAGGGAGAGATGGAAGAGTGCCTGGCAAACTGACAGGCCAAGGCCAAATTTGGCCTGCAGGGTTGCTTAGTTTGGCCCCCACTCTTTAAAATTTGGATTCATTTAAAGCACTTCAAAATCAAGAGAGCTCACACAAAATTCAGATCTGCAGCTTTCCCTGAAAAACAAAACAAAACTAGCAGCTCTGGCAACTCTATGCCTGCATACCTCCCTAGTTTGCCAGAGTTCCCAGATCCCCGCCCCCTGTCCCCCACCTTTGTCTATTTGCCTATATGGCTTCCATAGATACTTGAATGGCAAGCCTGGAGTGGCAGAATAGCCAAGTTAGAAGCCCTTTTTCTGTACCCCTGTTGCCTACCATGTATTTAAAGAGTCCAGCAAAAGTCACACCACGTTGTAAGTACCTCTTTACCCACCTTTCAATAAACTGAGAGGCGATGATGATGTCCTTCCTACCCCATGTTCCAAGCTCCCAGTGTAATGCCCAGTAAAAAGGAGGGACAAATATTTGCTGAATAAAAGGGAGGGTTTTTTTAATTACGATTTTTTATCCCTGTGGTATATTGTATTCTATTGTGTTTATTGAAGTTGATTCTACATAAGGAAAAATATACATATCACAGTTGTACAGCTCAGTGAATTTTCACAAGCTGAACACATCCCATGTAAAGAGCACCCAGACTGAGAAAGAGAACACTACTGATACCCCAGAAGTCCCCCTTGTGCCTTGTGTTGGGGGTCCCCAAGACTACCCCACCCAGTTCGATGATTCACTAGGAGACTGACACACTCAGCACATACCTCTACTCATGGCCAAATACTATTTATTACAGAGGAAGGCTGCAAAGCAGAATCAGCCAAGGGGAAAAGGTGCACAGAGCAAACTCCTGAGGAAACCAGGCACAAGCTTCCCGAAGTCCTCTCCCAGTGAAGTCACACAGGACACACTTAACTCCTCTGGTAAGGAGTTGTGACCACACCAGCAAAGTGTTATCTGCTAAGGAAGCTGATTAGAGACTCAGTGCCCAGGGCTCTAACTGGGGGTTTGTCGTGTAGGCACCATCTGCCTAGCACACCCAAAATCTGAACTCCCAGAAGCAGATATTTAGCATAAAGCACATTGGTTGCACACACAGTTTAGGCATAATGAGCCACTCATCATTTAGTGAATGCTGAGAAGCCTCCCAAAGTCAAAGCTCCCAGTAGCCAGCTAAGGGCCAATCTTACATACAGCCCTTTCTAATGTGAACAGTTTCAGGACTGCTTTAGTCACTCTTTTCTACATAGTTAAGACTTGGCCCAGGCTTCTTTACAGCAAAATTATTATCTGTAGGACCTCATGCAAAAGGATGAGACCAACCTACAGGACTGATCTCAGCTCTAGACCTATTAGGGGACCTGGATTTAGCAAGTTAAAATAACTCCCATTAACCATGAAAGTCTATCTTACAAAGCCCAGGTAGCCTCCTCCTCAGTTTGTCTTACATGTTTTTACTTGGCCCAATGTTATCAACTCAAGTACAACACAGCTGTGGCCTACAAGTTAAGTTGATCTGAAGCCTTCCAGGGCTGAGCCAGTGTGGTGATGGGCAGACAGTAAAACCCCAGAGGACACATGTGGTCTTCCTGAAAGCCAGTTTACAATGTTAGGGTGCCCCAAGGACAGACATTGGTCTGGCAGTGGAGGTTAATAGCACCCACAGTGTAGCCTGTTACCATGAGACCTCCTGCCCTAAAGTTCCCCCAAGTCTGGTATGAAAAATGTGTCCTGTCCTTGGTCTCCAAGGGACTGCCTGAAGGGAGTCCATCCCAGTGTTGCATGCCCATGATACCAGTTTATCCATCTCATGAGTTTCGATGGCACTTGAAGGCATTCTGATAAAGAGTGCAGGAGCCTCCTCTGTTGTTATAGTCAGTGCTGCCAGGTGTAACCACAGGCTCAGCAGTCTGAACTCAAAGCACTCGAAGTGCATGGTGAGGCATCAGTGGAAAGCTTTCAGGAAGAGGGAAAGCCTCCCCGACTAGTTCTTATAAAGATGAGGAATGCCCTTTCCATTCCCAAGGCTCCCCAGGTACTAGCTTTTTGCTTTTTCTACACTTATAAATTCAGTATGCCCCACCAATCAGCAACCTTAACTTTACTTTTCTTTTTTTAATGGTTCTGCAAACTGTTTTTAATTTAACAATGCACCATAAACATTTTTCCATGCAATGGGTGAAAATATGCTACTGAAACATAGGAGGCTGTAGTTGGATAATGAGTGACACCTAAAGCAAAGTATAAGCAAAAGGTTAAAGCTCTGGGCCTGGCGAATGCCTGCTAGGGGGAACTACGCAAAAGGAATGTCTTCAAAGTCCCTTTCCAGGGTCTTATAGCCACCCCTGAGTTCCCTTGGACCCCTCGAGTGGAAGGGGTCCTGTAAACTTTTTTGCATCCAAGTAACCACCCCCCCGCCCCCGACAATTTCTGTCTGGTTTTCTTCACCTCATCCTCTACCCTAGCCATCTTATCAAATTCTCTTAGCATGTCCCCACTGCTCAAGTGCATATCGAGTATGGCCTCTTTGTGTTTCCTGAAGCACAGAACCAGCCCCTTGTTGGTTTTCCTTTTGGCTTTCCTGGTACATCATCCCCAACTGGGCATTTCTGTGCAGCTCTTGGTTCAATCACTGGTTTTCTTTCTTCTTTTGGCTTTTCCTTGCTCTCCGGTTTTCCCTGGCTCTGTGGCTTTCCCTCCCTCTCTTCTAGTATTTCATCATCATCTGTCTTTCCCTTTTTTTCTATCTTTCCCTCATTTTCTTAATTTTCGTTGTCTTCCAGAGTACGAACCACTCTAGCTTTTCAGCATTCTGAGGCTGTTCTTTGTTTTCCATCTTTCCTTCACTCTCAGGCATTCCATTTTCACTGCAGAATGTTTCCATATTGAGATGTCCCCCCACCTTTTCTGCGGGAATTCTTGACATGTCCCTCCTTTTCTAGCCTACCAAGTGCTGAGAGCAAAGACACACAGACCTTTTTCCTCTCTATGCCTATTCCTTCTCACCCATTCCAGTGTTCCTTGGGCAGTGACGAAGACCCTCGCACTGACCTGCAAGAACCTGGAGCAACAATTAGGAGTTTGCAGATGTCTTAGGGCCCAACCATAGCGAAGGAGCCGCATTTATTTAATCACCTCCTGCTGTCATCTAGTTCTTTCATCTGGAAGGACTATACAAAGAGGAATAAAAGCCCTTAAACAGAGCCTAGGCTGGGTAGCTCAGCTTGTAAGAATATCATCCTGATACACCAAGGTTGTGGGTTCAATCTCCATCAGGGTATATACAAGAAGCAACCAATGAATGTATAAATAAGTGGAACAAATTGATGTTCTCTCTCTTCTCTCTCCCTGCCCCCATCACTTTAAAATAAATAACATTTTTTAAAAGTTTTAAAAAGCACTTAATCAGATAGACATATTCAGGAACTGGTCAGGATGTGTTATGGGCTAAGCTGCCTTTGGCCAAAATTCACATGCTAACGCCCTAATCCTCGGTACCTTAGAACATGACTGTAATTGGAGAAAGGGCCTTTAAAGAGGTGATTAAGGTAAAATGGAGTCATTAAGGTGGGCCTTAATACCAAATGACAAGTATCCTTATAAGAGGAGATTACGACATAGACAACACAGACAAAGCGGTGACCATGTGAAGACACAGCAGGAAGGCAGATATCTGCAAGCAAAGGAGAGAGGCCTCAGGAGAAACAAACCCTGCTGACAGCTTGATTTTGGACTTCTGACCTCCAGAACTAAGGAAGTAAATCCCTGTAGTTTAAGCCATCCTCTCTGTGGTATGCCATTATGCAGCCCTAGCAGGTTTAATAGAGGATGAAATTTTCAAAAATTTCAAAATGGGTCTACATAACCTCCTACCCCTTTTATCCACATAGCAGCCTAGAAAAGATCAATCCCTTTCTAGAGACAGCTACATTTGAATAATCAACCTACCTTACGTACCAGAAAAAAGTGAGGAGATACAGACAGGGTATCAGCCCACTGTGACAAGGTGCAGCAATCCACAAAGCTGAACAGTGCAATAACCCTCCCCCCAGAGGAGACCCAAAGGCTGATCTGTTAAAAGCAGACAGAGGGGTCACAGTCCCTTTTAGGTGCCCTCCCCTAACTGACAGCTTTTGGCAGGGATCACAAGTTAGGATGCAATTAGCCTCTGATCAGAGATCAAGAATTGATCAGCAGCTCAATTTTAGATCCTCCCTTCTGAGAGCAAGCCCTTTTCTATGGCATTTGTACGTGACCCAGAAGGTCCAGCTGGCATCCGCGATTCATGTTTTCATAATTCAGAACTCCACAGATGGGATCCTAATTCTCCAGTGGTACTGAGGTCTAAGTCCTGTTCATGGAGCCTGGGTCTGCTTTCAGTCCAGCAGAGCTCCTACTGAGGCTGAAAAGGCACACAATAGCCCAGCAATCAGGATCAATGAATTTGCAATTCTGAATGAGCCAGCTGCTTTCTCCAGCAGCAGCAAAGACTTGTTGCAGTGCTATTTAACCATGGTCCAAATGTAAGTGACAAGCATGACTTCCTTTTCATCTTGTCCATCTTAACAGTCCAAACTGACCCATTCAAAAATATGCACATCAAAATGGACAGTCAGCAGCCAATATCTGTCAGGTATTTGATTTCAGCAAGAGCTTATTACCAATTTAACTGCTTTTTCAAATTCCAAATGTGTATTTCCATCCAGAAATTGTCTCTCTTTTAATGTTGTCTTCCTCTTTCCAGAGGCTCCAAGAGACAAATCATAGCAATGATCATCAGTTATGGAGACTTATTCTGGTTCCAATTAGAATTTAAATTCTAATTTACTAATGGAAAAAAGCAAGAAAGTTGTATCCCACCAACACCTTCCAAATTTAATTTTATTGCATCTTTCTTTGATTGAGATGATCCCACTAGCATTTATGAAACTATAAGCATATAACATTTTAAACCAACTCTATTGTATATCCAAGTACAACTGCCACAAAATACAAAGCCGTTTTTTAAAAACTTTCCTTCTTGTCTCATTGCAAATTTACACAAACACCTAGCAGAAAATTCAGCATTTACAGGGCTTTCATTGCAAGCCTGCAACATTAACTCTTTTCTGCACAGGCCTCTTCCAGTAACAACCTGTCAAGGATCTCTCTCCGCTATCTCGTAAGGTCAGAGTTTTAACCAATGGACTCAACTAATGAAAACAAGTTAGAGTGTTTTTCATTCATACAAAGACCATTGAGGACCCACTGCATGGGTCCACTTAGAAACACTAAAAAATAATGAAACATTGAAGAAACTTCCTTTAATTTCCTTTCATTCTTTAACAGCTTTTTCATTTCCCTTCTAATCCTTGTCAGTAGGGAGTTTCAATTTCATATAGATGCAATGATGCCCTGTTAATACAATCTATCTTAATAGTATCAGTAATAACACTCTAATAGTGAATCCTTACTGAGCACCTGCTATATGTGATGCATGGGGCTAAAAGCTTTACAGAAGTGATCTCATTTAATCCTTACAAAGGCCTTAAGAGAAAAGATTATACCCATTTTAAAGATGAGGAAATGAGCACTTTTGGATTAGGTTACTCACCCAGCATCACGTAGCTAACAGGTGACAGAGCTTTAATTCCAGTTGGACTCTGCTGACTGCACAGTACATTTGCTCATACACTGGCTCTCTGCACACTGTCTCTTTGGGCCTTGTCTGGAAAGCCCCAAAACCCAGACTCATTTGTTCACTTGCTCACTCCCTCCTACCAAAAAGCAGTATGACATATTGGTTAAACTCATGGACTAAAGAACCCTAAGTTAGTTCAAATGCCAGGCCCTCCTTAGCTGTGTGACCTCTCTGTGCCTCAATGTCTATGTCTATAAAATGGCGATAACTATACACAGTGCCCATTTCCTAGGATTCTATCTAGATGACGTGCCTATCTCTTACGGTTCTTGTAAAGAGATTCTATGGGCAAAGCTCTTCAAACAGTACCAGGCACATGATCATGTCCTTATTGTTGTTGTTACTGAAATAAAAGGAACCTGTGCTTACTCCCAGGATGCTCAGAGTCTCCAACAGGGCTTTTCTGTTCCTGGGCTCTCATATTTCCTTGTTTTCCCCCTCTGCTCTGGCCCTACTGCTTCCTTGGGCTCTTGTGGCTCCCATGGAAAATCAGAGAGCACCCAGAAGACCCCAAAGGTTGGGGTGAATGCAGCTGAAAAGGAACTAGTGGGACCAAGAAAAACCAGAGGCTAATGTCTAGATCCAAGGTCTGAAAGGCAGAGTGTGGACTCCACTCCTGTGTTTCTTTTCTTGGGTGATTTTCATATGCACAAACCATGTGCCTCATGCCCAACTGACTTGGAGACATAGAACAAACCATTTTGTTTCCTCAGGGAAGCAGGACGTCCTGTGCTAACTCTTCTGCCTTCAGGGTTCAGGCCAGGGTGCATAAAGAATGCAGCTAGGGCCAAGCCACCAGGGAAAACAAAGGATTAACTGACTGGATGGTAAGTGTAACCCTCATGGCCAAGTGCTCTGGAGGCCCAGGACATTGGAGGAGCTGCATAAAACACCAGCTTTGTAGAAGACAAGACTTGGATTCGATTCCAGTTCAGCCATGTATTAGCTGTGTAACCCTGGGAAAATTTACTTCTCTGAAGATCAGTTTCCTCCTCTGTATAATGGATTGTAAAAATCCCTGCACTTTTGACAGTTGAGAGTATTAAATGTTTTCAAATACATGCCTGGCATCCCACAGATGCAAAGCAAGAAAGGGTGATTCCTTTTCCTCATGTCTTCTTGTGATAGACTGATTATAAAGAAAAGATGTTCTTAATTTTAAACTTCGAAAAATATGAGTGCTGAACCTTATGCTATAGGAGGTTTCGCTCAAGATGTATCACTTCCTAATAATAGTAGTTAAAACTACCATTTATTGAGTGCTTATCCTGAGCCAGTATCCTACTTTACATATATGAATGCATTTAAATCCTCATCACAACCCTTATACATCTGCCCCATTTTATGGACGAGAAATCTGAAGTTCCACAAGGGAAGACAACTTGCTCAAAAGTGCAGGGCTAGGATTGGATCTGCCACCTCCAACCACTGTGATGAACATTCAAGAAGGGACCCTCAAGCCTTCATCAGGGCCCTCTACTTTGTCTCCTTGGCTTTCTCTCCCACTAAGCTGTATGATCCCTATGGGCAGGGCTGGGCTCCATCTTATTCTCCACTGTATCTCCTGGAACTTAGCAGTGGTTCAATAAGTATTTGTTAACTGAATAAATGAGTGATGGATTAACTGCATGCCTATCTTCCTTGCCCTAAATAGCAGCAAGTGCATGTTCTGCAAAAGCACCTTCCCCTCCTTGAGAGTTCAAGAAGTGCTTCAACAATCATGGACTTATGGGAACTGGTCCAAGCTGGCAGCACATTTTGCTGACACCTGTTTTGAAATAACCAGACCTTCAAACACATTGTCCCAACACCACCAGCGCCGTTTCAGGGGACTTGCAGCTCCACAGAAGATATCCCAGGAGATGAGCAACCTAGATATGACCACCCATAGCAACCATCCAGGTCTGTTAGATGCTAATCTGTCCTAGAGACTGGCTGAGGGTGAGTTGGGACTTGGATGGGCTCCATGTTCTGGATACCCTATGCCAGCGGCCCTCAACCCCCGGGCGCAGACCTGTCCTGGTCTGTGGCCTGTTAGGAACCAGGCTGCACAGCAAGAGGTGAGCAGCAGGCAGCAAGTGAAGCTTCACTTGCATTACCGCCTGAGCTCCGTCTCTTGTCTCCCTGCCATCCTACTGGCCCATCCGTGGAAAAACTGTCTTCCACAAACTCGTCCCTGCTGCCAAAAAGGTTGAGGACCCACTGCCCTATGGGCTCTCACCAGCCATATCAAGACATGAAGACGTTCTCCCTAGGCAACAAGATCCCTCCTTTATGCTAAGAAACTTCCAAGGATGTGTTAAATAGGAGTAATGTTTGTCTGATTCATTTCAAGTCTGCCATCACCCAGATGGGTCAGAGTGTCTAAGAAAGAAACTGTGGCCACAGGCTCTGAGTGAACTCACTCATGAAGAAGTGACTAATTCAGAAGCCACCACATATCCCAACAAACCGCAAGGGCCCTGTGCAGCCATGTGAAACAGAATCTGTTAATAGGAGGCTAAGTCAATCATTCAAACCTTGTTCCCTGCACCAGGGGTCCTGCAATATCTTATCTGGCCTAGGGTGGAGGCTAGTGGGGGTCAGGGTGGGGGGCTCACATTCAAGTAATCACCCTATTAAGTATGTGCTGGATACCCACAGGTTCATACCTGCCACCTCAGGAGCTCACAGTTAGTGTGGATTCAGGCAATAACACAGGTACATAACTAGAGTTTACCTAGGCCTTGACAAAGGCCCCTCCATAGGTGGTATGGGGTCCATGACAAAGAAGTTCCAGGCAGAGGAACATCCTTCCAAATGGCTTTTTTTTTTTTTTTTTTTTTTTGAGAGAGGGGAGGGAGGGAGACAGACAGGGAGAGAAACACCAACTGGTTGCCTCTTGCAGCCCCCAATTGGGGTCCTAGCCTACAACCCAGGCATGTGCCCTGACCAGGAATTGAACCAGTAACCTTTCAGTTCACAGGCTGATGTTCAAGTCACTGAGACACGCCAAACAGGGCCCAAATGGCTCTTCATTAAATAGTCTCCCCTTTGGCTAAGTTACATCCTCTCTGTGCTCCCTAATCCAGGCCCAGGTACTGCTCAGGTGGTACCCCACCCCCACAAGACTAAGTAATGAGATTGGGTAAGGGAGGGCAGGGAGACAGAGAAAAATGAAGACATCCAGAGAAAAGGAAGAGGCCTGAAGTGGACACCTAATGGTTTTTCTGGCTTGGTACCCATTCATCTCCTCTTCTGGTAAAATCACTGCCCCCCCATGCCAGTACCACCACCAGGCACCAAGTCTCAGTCCAAGTAGGTATGTGCCCCAGGCCTAGGTAATCAGTGTATTCCATCTTCCTGGCCACAATCATGCCTTGAGGCTGGATACCTCACTTGTTTGGACCAATGACAACCAGGTCCAAGGGTTTTATCAGGGACGGGGAGCTCTTTCGATCAATATCAAGCCGTGGGGGTCAGTCGTGAAGCCTGAGAAGAAAGTAAACTCAGAGCACCATAGAGAGCTGAAGAGATAGGTTCCTTATGACTCTGTTTTGAGTCCTGGGATCCAGCTTGACAGCTAATCTATCCCTGACTTTATCAGCTACATTAGCCAGTAAATCCCTTCTCTGCCCTAAGCCAACTGGAAAGAGTCCCAATCAAGGGCTCTCCCATCTGCCTGCTCTACTGGGAATACTGAGAGGACAAAGAGACTGGGGAAGGTAAATTGTCTGATGACAGACTGTCCCCAGGTGAGAGCCACCATGGAGACAGAGACCAGATGGCCTTTCCCAGGACATGCAATTACAACTATCAACACCCTTTCAAAGAGTATCAGTTCTTAACTACAGACTCGTTTTGTAATGGCTGTTGTTTGATCTTCTCAGCACCTTGCTCTGTTAATGGGCTTTGCCGTTTCTCCAGCATGGTGGGATGAAGTAAAGGTCTTGACCCAGATCAGGTTTATCATAGTGCTGCACACCCTTGGCCACACTGAGTGATCAAAGAGGGCATGGGATTCATGACAAACCACTGAGAACCTTTCTCTGGGATTTTCCAAATTGGAACTGGAGGGAAGAAGCCTTTCTTTCAGGGCCACCCAGTTGGGAGGATATAAGTCTGGAGCTGTCAGCTGCCACCTGCCACAATGCATGGAGAAAGCCCACTTACAGTAGGAGAAAAGCAAGTGTCTCCCAAGACACAGGCCTGGGAGAGCTTGCCCTCTCTGATGTCCTTAGTTTTTGCTGCCCAGCTAGAGACTAAATTTACAATCTACCTTATAGCTAAATGTTGCCATATGACAAGACAGTAGGAACTTGAGGGTCTGGTGACATGTTAGAGCGACTTACCTACTCTGGACCACCCGCCTATCTCTGCACTATTAGGTAAGAGAGAAATTACTTTCTATATTGTCTGAGCCACTGTATTTGCATGATCTCCTTGTTACAGCAGGCCCAGTCTGTTCCTTTATTAATGTGAAGATGAAAAAGATATAAAAACAAACAGCTCTGATGGGGTTTAAATCGCTGAGTATCACTGTCCCTTCAATATGATGTTATTACTTCTGGAGAGCCTTCTACATGCCAGAAACTATCCTTAATGCCTACATTTAATCTGTACCAGCCCTATGGCACACCACTGTAATTCCCACTGTACAGCTCAGAGACTGAGTAACTTGCCCTAGGTTCAAATCCAACTGCCTCCCAAGCTAGTTTTTCCCATGATTTGTTGTGTAAGTCAATAAAACTATCCCCACTTTTTTTTTTCCCCCTTAAACCACTTCAAGCTAGATTTCTGTCACTATAACAAAGCGGTTCTAATTGGGTTTTTGTTTCATCTAGTCTGTACATTCCTCTCTGGAGTGCCAACTATATGGTGCAGCATTTTTAGACACTATGAATGACTGCAAGCCAGACAATTCTCCAAAGACACCAGGGCACCATACAAGGAGATTGTCTTCTCAGAGGAGACACTAGGCTTCCTGCCTGTGCCAGACATCATTAGATGGTTCACCCAAAACTCATCTTCAATCCCCCATCTCCCTATCTGCCTGAAAACCAAAATACTCACTTTTTCAGCTCTCTGTACAGCCAGATAACACAATCTGGGGCAATGAGAGGTTTAACAGGAAGGGATTCCAGCATAGTAATTAAAGTGTGGGCTTTAGCCCTGGCCAGGTAGCTTAATTGGTTGGAGCATCACCCTGTACCCCAAAAGGTTGCAAGCTTGATTCGCAGTCAGGGCATATACCTAGGTTGTGGGGCAGTGGGGGCATGTATGGGAGGCAACTGATCAATGTTTCTCTCTCATATCAATGTTTCTCTCTGTCTCTCTCTCTCTGAAATCAGTAAATATATCTTCATGTGAGGATTAAAAAAAAGTATGGGCTCTAGAGACAGAATGCCTAGGTTCACTGCTGCATTAGTCATATAAAATAGGGCACTTTACTTAATCTCTGTTCCTTGAGGACAATTAAGTGCACAGATGTCGTGGTGATTGTGGAGATGAGAGGAAATAATAAATGTAAAGAACTCAGAAGAGCACCTGGTGTGTGATAAACACTGTGTTAGCAACTGCTGTTTGATCACCTATACATGCCAATATGGAGCAATCTCTAAGATATATTGTTAAGTCAAAGCAGCAAGGTGCCGAACAGCACAGCTCATGTTTGATCACATCTGTATGAATGTGGAGAGGCTGGTGTGTAGATATATACATACCTGCTTGTGCATATGCAGACTACCTGTGCTAGGAGAGACGAGAATCTGTTCAGGGTGGTCGTCTCTGGTATTCTGAACTGGGAAGACTTACTTCATTACTTGTCCTTTCTTAGCTGGATTGGACTTTTGGAATCATGCACTTGAGTTACTTAAAGATTTTCAAATTGTTTTGTTTTAGGAGGCTCAACCATTCTCCCCACTTTGTGGGCTGTTCACCAACAAAATGGACAGTTAAAAAATTATGGCAATTATATCTCAATAAAGCTGGAAAAACTTACAAAGAAAATGAACAGTTAGTTGCATAAAGTAGCAAGTATTCAAAAATAGGCAGGATGGTAACCTGTTGGACATGTCCTGGAAGATTTCTCTAGTGAGCAAAAGGTTATATTCTGCCAATTCTAAGATTCACCTTTTTGGTGGCACAAAAGGAGAAGGGGGCTGGATGAGAAGCCAGGGTATAATCAAACATCGCGTAACCATCACTGACTGCTGGTATGAGACAGGATGCACAGCCAGTGTGCTCCAAGGACAAGCTTGGCCCCTCTGAAGAGCATGAGCTGTAAAGCCAGACTGACATGGCTCTGACTCCTGGGTCAGCCACTTCTTCACTGTATGCATTGTACCAAGTTATCTAATTTTCTCATCTGTAAAATGTGAGCCATGAGCAGGTTAATGAATGTAAAGCCTGCAGTAGGGTACCAGACACATAGTAAAGTGCCTAAGGAATAGAGGTAGCCATCACTGGAAGGGGAGAATGATCTTTACTTCTTTAAATAACTGTTTGGTTGTCAATCTTTTAATGGACAAACTTAAAAAAAAAAAAAAAAAGACAAACCAGAAAGCAGTTTTACATTGAATGAGTGGAGATAATTACATATAGCTGTCAACCCATAAAGGGATATTGAGTCAGTACAGTGCCTGCTAGAGCCTAACCTCCAAGGCTAAACAGTTCCATCCTACTCACAGGAAATTCAGAGCATTAAGCAAGGCCAACATTCTCAGAACTTTACTTCTAGATCTTCCTTTTAAACCAAGAGGTCAGAGCAGAACCATGGAGGATGGTACTATTAGCCAGAAGACAATAAGAGTTAAGAGTGGCACTGGCGACTTCACTGACTGCTTGGGACTCTGTGCCACAGAGTGATTTTAAGAGGCCCCAGTGTATACATATGACTGGGCCCAAATACAGATATTTTGGTCTGAACTGTGAGGTGTGTGGCAATTAAAAGGAGAATTAAATGGTTACAGACCCGGGAACAGGTATCACAAACGCTATGTCTTCAATGAAATAAGGCATGTTTGGCTGCTCTCAAATACCTTGAAGCAAGGAGCGGCTGCCAGACTAGTCCATCCACATGGGAGATTCAAACCTGGGACTTCACAAAAATAAAATCTGGGTGCTGAGGGTCCCCCTTCTAGTGAAAGCCAAAGGCCCTCAAACAGAATGTTAAAAAGTCTTATGTTAGTCACCCTTGGTTAAAATGATAAAGTCATTTGGGAAAGAAGAGAAATACCAACTACCCCTCCTTTCTCATTTCAGTAGCCAACAGGAATCCGGGCTCTGAAAGGCCACAAATACTTTTCCTTCACAATTACATGTAATTGTAGTAACTGCCCAAAAATGTTAGCAGCAGGCAAGCTTAGAGTGACCCAGTGAGTGGCACTTGCTGTGGGAGTTTATGGCCAAGAGCAGCACACCAGCTTCGTAACATGCGCTTCGGGACAGAGCACTCTGCTCTGCACCTGGCCAGCGGCAGGACCCAGTCATCCACAGGACCGAGGGTAGGAGTATTGGGAGCAGATGATTCTGTGTCCCACATATAATGAATGGTATGAAGTGACTGTTAATAGATACAGTTTAAGCAGACCATTTGGAGACAATTCTTCCAGATGTTCTATACTAAAGTCTTAAGAGCTTAGAGCCAAGGATGATTGAGAAATTCCAAATAATTAAACAAGAAAAACCAACAACAGAAAAGGATGGGTAGAAGGTGTCAAAGACACAAGAGCTCTTTGTAGATGCTGACTGGCTCACTTTGTCCCCAAGTTTATCTTAGAGCTCAAGTAAATTCAAGACATGAGGCAGTGACATTAGACCTGTGTCAAGGGCAAAAACTTCTGGTAGTAGCTCTTGGTGACGTCAATCATCAGCTCCTGGGTACATTCTGGGAGCTCCCCTGAGAAGAGTCCTGGGGAAAGAAAGACCTGGTCAACCATGGGGAGTCAGGGGTGGCCTGCAGCTCTGATTCCTGTTTAAACCCGTTTGTGTAGGCACAAAATGTCAAAATGTTAGATTTCCCATCTTTGGTGCTAACAGAATATTTCCACTGATCATCTTCTAGATGATAATAATTTCTGTACTGGGGTGGGGGGATAAATAATACTGCTCTCAAAATGGAGAAATCTATTACAGGTAAAAGAGCTTAGCACATTATTGCATGATCTGAAGAGTTAAAACAACTCTGACTACATTGGAGGTTGCTCCAGACAAAGACTTGTCCATCCCTTGGATTCTGGTGTGACACTTCCTGGGCAAGCCAAGGTGAGCACTCTTAATTAAGATAAGAAACTGTCCTGTTATCCATACAATGAAATGAATCCAACCACCACCATACAAATATGGGTGGGAATAACAGAAATGTCCTATAAGAAAATAAAAGATTGGCATCCTATCGAAGGATATTCGTGAAAGAGGTACTCTCCTGCGCTATGGGTGGAACTGCAAACTCATACAACTGTTTTAAAGAGCAATTTAGGAATATCTAGCAAAATTTTTAAAGGTTCATACCTTGTCACCTGACAATGCAGCTTCAAGTATCTGTCCCACAGATAATGTTGCCCAATTGCACAATATATGTACAAGAGCATCAATGCAGCAGTTTCTAACTGTGAATAACCAGGTACTGTACGACTTCTAATGACACCCTACACCAGGGCACAGACTATTTACACTGTGCTACATTTATGCAATAAAAAACACATAATCATTAAAAGGAATGAAGTGAATCTCTACATACTGACAGCAACAATATGTCCAAGACGTACTGTTAAGAAACCAAGTTTCTGTACAGAATAAAATATTAGGCTTGTGTTTATAAGCGGCCACAATGGGCTATTACTTCAATCATGTCCATGATCTGCCTGGCTCCTGGGAGCCTCTTAGTTTTGGTTCCTGACCCAGATACTCTCTAAATGAGTTGCCTCACTTTGTTCCAAGACTGAGTTTCACACAAAGGAGTCCTGCAAAAATGTCCTGGTTTTCTTGCAACATTGTGCCTCTTATTAAAGATGGAGACTGCCAACTGTAGCATTTAGATGGTTAGCATTTGTTGTGAAACTACGTAAAACGAATATGGGAAGTATCTTATCACAGTGCAAAAAGTATTAAACTCTAAATAGGGAGTCTAACTGCTCATCAAGGCTTCCCCACTAACTTGCTCTTACACCTTGGACAACACACCCTCTCTAGGCCTCAGTTTCCTCATTTAAACAGTGATCTCTAAGGTTCCAGGCAGCTTGAATCCTTCACCTGAAGCTTCAAACACAGTGAAATACCCAGCAATGCTTCCCTGACTTCTGCCATCAGCCATAAATTGGTTCTAAGAACCTTCAATAAGTTAAAAGAGATTAAGAGATTTCTCTAGCTATGCACTTCTCATCTCAGACCAGATGCTTGCCTGATGATCTGATCTAGTACTTACTGGGACAATTAAGCCTTTTTTATAGTAGGAACCTGATATGGGGAGAATTACTAAAGATGTCTCTTCCTCCTCTGCAAAAGCAGAGATGCATAATATAGCAGAATGGTCAATTTCCTCCCCAAAGAACCTGGGTCGATGATGTTGTCCATCTTTGAAATCCATATTCAATGGTCTGAGTAATGAGGTTGTTTAAATTCGAAAAACAAGCTACCTGGTAGCAGAGATATCCATCTGTGAATTTGTAATGTGCCTGTGTATACATCACAGAATTTCAACCATGTAAACAACATGTATAAGAAAAGACACTCTCCTGGGGTAGAGGAGGATGTTAGGTTTCTGTCTGTCTTTGATTTCAGTGTTTTCCAAGCTTTCTAGGATAAGCATGTATTACTTCTGTTTCCTCATATGCTATGTAATCGGGAACTCTGAGCTCACGAGGGGCTTTACCTGAGAGCGTTCTGTCAGCCAAGGTCAAGAGGAGATGCATTTATTTCTCTCAGGTGTCCTAGAGTTGCCACTGCTCTCAGACCTGCCTAATGTTAACTTTTCAGTTTGCACATTCCTGGGCAGGGCATGAAGTATAAGTTCAAACCCCCAACTACGTCCTACCCGCAAAGGCCATAGTTAGAATTCTATGGAGAGACTTGCTTTGCCTACCTAGAGCCCAGGCCAAAAGAGGCATGCTTCTTTGTACTCTTCCTGTGCTGGTGGCAGACTTGTTCTACATCAACTTTTTACTGAGAGACCTCTTCAAGGGGCCTCTGCCAAATGTGGATGCAAGGTTTTCCTTCATCCCCACACAGTATGAAACCCTGGACCACTCTATTCTGAAGACAGTATCAACTGAAGCATTCTTACAATGTCCACTTACTTTCCTTTTTGCTTCTGACCCTTGATCATTTCCTTATCCAATTATGCATTTAAAAGAATACTTGTGCCCTGGCTGGTGTGGCTCAGTGAATTGAGCACCAGCCTGCAAACTAAAGGGTTGCCAGTTCAATTCCCAGTCAGGGCACATGCCTGGGTTGTGGGCCAGGTCCGCAGTACGGGGCAAGAAAGGCAACTACGCATTCATGTTTCCCTCTCTTTCTCCCTCCCTTCCCTTCTCCAAAAATAAATAAATCAAATCTTTAAGAAAAAGATACTTGTTATGATGTAAACATCATTCTTGTAGCAAGAAGAATTTTTAAGTTACACTAACATATTGTTAGAGGCAGAAATTGCATGCGCTGCTTTTGTGAAGGAAAATAAACTTTAGTTTTCATAATCAACACCCACAGTTACCTGGGCAGCCTGAGAAGACAGTGAATGGTGGGACTACAGTTTCTGGGGGTAACACTGTGTTGTCAAGAATTTTGCAGCAGTCTTTCAACACGCACCGACGCCCCTGAAATTAAAATCTTATTAATAGGAAATAGATCAAGAAATAAGAGTAAACATTGTCTGCTACATGGAAGACTATTTTATATTTTCATTTGTGATATCCTACAAAAGCCAGGAACAGTGACAAGAGGCTTGGCCACAATTCCCTACATCAGATGGTACCTGACAAGCAGGAGGTAGGACTGTGAGCATGAGTGTGTGTGTTTATGTGTGCGTGTGTATGCACGTGCAAGGGCTGTGTGCTGGGGACAATTCACATTATCTTAGGCATTACAGACTAGGTGAAATTCAGTCTTTCAAGGGCGCTGTTGAAGTTTCTTTCTCTCTTTTTTTGTGAATTTAATGGACATCTGTTTCACTTGTCCAACATTTGTTCTCCTTTTTGTCTGGTAACAGAACCTGTGTTTCCCTTGTGAACTACCTCTACACCCAGCTCAGCCCAGATGCTTCAATCCCTATCCCACATGCTAAACCCCAAGCTGGTCATGGCAACTGACTTGGGGAATTGACATTTGAGCCAAAAATCAGTCTAATGAATATCAATGTCAGGGTTTCTGTTGGGACCACTGGGAAAAGTTCTTCCCAATGAAGTTTCTAGAGGACAGAACGGAAGCCAGGAGTTGCCATCTTGTTTCCATGAGGAAAGACCTCTGCCTGAAACCCTCCCAGAGAAAAACATAAAAGGGAAGGAGACTGATTCTCATGACTTAAATTGAAGCCTACAGCCACTTGTGCAGGAAATTAGAATTCACTTCTATACTCGTAATTTGTATTAGCCCATCCATCCATCTGAAGGATTAGGCTGAACCTTATGCCTGTGTTTACCCACTGCCACCAATTTTCAGTTCTGTCATCATCCACAGCATTCTCAGGGCAAGAGATGAGGTCTGGGAGAGCCATCTGTTCCATGGGTTAAGGGCATGGAGAGGCTCCTGTATGCAGTTTAGAGGTGTGCTTCAGGCTACCTGCTATAAGTTTCATTCTTGGTTGACTTGTGTGTCTGTCTCCAGGACCTGTGATTCATTGTTCTCATCAGATGATCTGATGCAATATACCTGGCTGAGAATGGGGAATTCCTGACAAATACCAGGACAATGCTAACCTGTTGAGACCTTAGATTTTACCAAAGAATATGAAAGATACTTTCATTTGATTATGTCAAAATTTTCCCTATTATTAAATACCCAAGTTAGATGTATTTCCGAGAATTTCCAGGTAGGTTGCCAAATGATTTTTTACCTTTAAAAAGCTTATACCTCTCAGGTCTGAATTTTTTTAAATTTAATCTCTATTATATTTTTTCCATTACCATTTAGTTCCCTTATACCTCCCTACCCCCAAAAATCACCACACTCTTGTCCTTCAGTCCTTTTTCCTTTTTGCTCAATTCCTCCACCCCCTCGCCTCCCCCAGCCCGACCACTAGCTGTCATCTGCTCTGCATCTATGAGTTTGTCTCTGTTTTTCTTTTTAGTTCAATTTGTTCTTAATCTAAGGTCTGAATTTCTTAAGTGTCTACTAAGCTGTTTTCAACTGAGTGGACAATAACCTTGGCAATACTTGGCAACAAGTATTTGGCAACTTTAGCTCAGAAGCAAGTCATTACTGCAGCTATTTATCCTCCTTGTAAAGTTCTCTTCCATGAATCCCCTGATACTGGCAATTTCAAAAAATGCAGCAGCTGATCAGCTCCCTGGTGACTTCCAAATGAACTAAAAGATGATATCTAAGCTCCTAATAACTCAGGTTAAGCCCATGGTGCCCTGAATGAAAGGAAAGAGAACATGCTGTGTAAGACACAATACATTCACATACAGAGATCCGTGCACAGTAGATCCTGACAAAGAGGAACCAGGAACACAAATTCAGTGTGTACCGCCAGCCACCACACAGCCCATATGCACCTGCTTTGTCCACTGGTTGACCATTCTGGCCCACCCATGGAAATGATGCTTAACTGGGCTTTAGAGCATTCTGGGTAAATGGATCAATTAGGTAGCAGCAAAATAAAAAATGAAGGCGTTTTCTTAGGTATAATGGATGGCCAATAGCAGAGAAGGTTAACAGCTGAAACTACTTCTTTACTCTTTCCTGGAGAACTTTCCTGAAGGGGTCAAAAAGTACATGTTGCTAGCATTAAGCTACTGATATCTCCTGATGCAAGTTACTCAGCATCTCTGAGCCTTGGTGTCCTCCTTTATGAAACAGGACATAAAACCAGCCCGCAGGGATGCTGTCAGGATTACAGTCATAACTGTATAACTCACAGCACAACAACAGTGCCTACTAATAACAACTGTTGGGCTTTTCCTGAGGGCATCTGGGCAATTCTGATTAATACCTGCAACTTCATATATCCAAACAGAAGTCAGACTATCACATGGGATGTTGTAGAAAGGATCTATGTATCATGGGGCATTGCAGGCTCTAAAAGAATTAATTACTGCTAACTCTGAGATTCTAGAATTCTAAAAAAATCTTTCTCCTCACATTACTTGAGAATCTGTAAAGGTTCAGTAAATAAGTACTACTAATACTGAACAATGACTATGTCCTGACAGTCAACTGTTATATTGACAAGTGATCTGAGAATTGGAGCATGTGACCCTAGGACTAGAATTCCCCAAGCACTGGTAATAGCATTTGGATTTGAACCTTTCAGATATTTGTTCTAGGGCTAAAGGACAGGGCTAAAGGACTATGCTGCTATAGTGATATCTCCCCTTTGCCACGAGAAATATCAGAAAAACATAGCTGTGGCTTGGAAAGCCAACTTTTGTCAGAGTGAGAGGACAGGATGGATTTCACTATCTTCCTCCTTTCTTCAACAGAAGGCCAAACCAAAACTTTCTACCTCTAATATTAAGAAGTCTGCAGGAGAATATTTGGCAAAACAAGCACTTCCCTTAATCCTGAGTAATTAGTCAGATTGGAATGTTTTTTGCAGCAATGTGGTTCTTGCCTGCACTGTGACCTTTGCCATGCCCTTGTAGCTACTGGAATGTTAAAGTGCACAGTTGCTGCAAGATTTCTGATACTTTAAGGTCAAAGTCTTATCTAGAGCAGAAAGCTAGCTCTGTATTAATAGGTGCAGCCATTTAAAAACATGAGTAAATCTTGGCTTTTTCTAGAATCTGGCTTCAGGTACAAATTTAAAGTGAGAAAACATTTTCCCTAAATATTTAGGCAGTTTGGTCCCGATAATTAACATTCTCATAAATCCTAACTAAAATCAAGTTCTTCATTTATGAAAATACCAAGAAACCTAACCTTGTGAAGCTTAATGGGAACAAACTGATGCTGAGTCTCCCATGGACCAGGGTCCTACAGGTTCTACTGAGCAAATGGTTCCTGTGCCCCTTGCATGTCCATTACCCTCAACTACCTGCAGTTCCCCTGAAGTCATGTCCTGTGGTGACTCTGAGCCTTATATACGCAAATCTCTTAAATGAATTGCCCATACTCCCCCTGTCTATGAGCCTATTTCATCTCACCCTTCACTCACCCCTCCCCACCAGACTGTGTAAGATCCCTGAGGTAAGGCAACAAGTAGGCCACATAGCAGCATGACCATTCATACCGCCTGGGTTCAAATCCCAGCTCTACTCAATAGCCTCATCAATCCTCTGATATCGAAGATCTTCAGTCTTCTCACCTGCAAACAGGGATAAAACAGCACCTACCACCCTTGGATGGGTAAAAAGAATAAATGAAAAAATCGAAGGAAAGAGTTTAACATCATACAGAAGAGGTTTGATAAAGATTAGACTTGATTATAAATGCCTAGAAAAAAGCTCCAAATCCAATATAATGCCAGTAGACCAGAAACTACTTCTACCCTGTCTGGTCAGAGGAGCAGAGGCTCACTGATGTGAGACAGGAGCTAGAGAGGAAGTGAGGCCGCTTAGCCAGCCAAGTCACCATACTCACAATCACACAGTTCTTGCCAACATGAACGTAAGAGCCAATCTGAGCTGCGTTGACCACACAATCTTCCTCAATAAAAACATGGTCCCCGATATGTAAAGGGAAGAATGCAACGCTATAGAAAGAAAAGATGAATAAAGAAAGGTCAAATTGATATATTCTTGGTCAAGGCTTACAGAACTACAGATCCTAAACTCAACTTCATCATCTTATCTTAATAAGACTGTTCTTAGCAAGGAAAGAATCCTCCGGCTAGGGAAATTCTATAATTCTACTACCTCAAAATAAAAAAAAATTAGACCAAGGAAACAGCAAGGCAGAAGGGGAACGATATTTTAAGCTAAAAGAACTGGCACCAAATACAAATGAATGAATGTGTATTTGGTGCCAGGAAGCAGGGATGAAAGGAAGCTCATCCCTGCTTCCTTTGAAAATGCTCACAGGTCACATTTTTAGTAATTTGCTCTATAATACATTAGGGGGCTGACATCAGGTTTGTGGGATATAAATTCTAGCACCCAACATTCTGAAAATGTATATGATCATTCATTTTATTGAGTGTCTACTATATGCCAGAAACTGTGCTAGGAAATGGGGATACAATGGCCAGGATAAGCTATGAAATCTGCCCACAAGGAGCTTACAATCAAGAGAAGAAACAAGATTAAATAAATGATTATACAGTAAGTAGTTAGTTACACGGAGGAAAAATACCATGTCATGTGAGTATGTAACAAGGAGACTTGACCCAGAATGGAGGTTTGGTAAAAGCTTAATTGAGAGTAACATATAAGTCAAGACTTGAATGTGAGTTAGTTAGTAGGATTTCTGCAGGCTTTTAACATTGTTCTCAGTCTCCGGGATTCCTCAAGTGTCACGAAGAGTGGTTCTGTGATCATATTTACAAGTAATTTCTGTACCTTGGGATGGAAAATATTTGGGTTAGAATTAAAATAAAGTAGCTGGGTGCTCACTGACTCTTTCCAGTCCTGTGTTTTATTCTGTCAGGAGTATTTTGTCAGAGATGATATCTGTCCTCCATGGACCTATAATTTCTTTAAATTTTCCTTGATTCATTCACATTTTTAGTCTGTACACTTTGTGAGGCAATGAAGTCCTTGATCTCATCATAGTCTACAGCAGTACTGCCAGTTCTTTAATCTTAATTAACAATTCCAAACTTTATACCATTATCAGGTTCTAGTATTCAGACATGCATATGCAAAGGAGGAAATCCACATTACTCTCTATTCAAGAGTTGTTGCTATTTACACTTTCATATTTCAGTATTTCTCATGTGGACTATTCTTATTTACACACACCTTCAACTCACCAACAAACCCCTTCTATATGCCAGACTCTAGGCTAGGAACTGGGGATACAGTAGCAAGGATAAGCAATGCAATGTTCACCCTTTAAGCTTTTCTTGGACCATATCTACTCCAATAAGGCCATCAGCAGAAGGTGGAATCAACTCTAGCAGAGTATCAATCACTGCATAAAACCACAAAATGGGACCTACCACAAGGTTTTCTGGTTTCTCCCAATAGTCTTCTGAGCTAAAGAGTGAATGGTTTCCTCTGAATAATTTAGAGTGACTCCCTACTCCAAACCCTGTATACCATGGAAAGCCTGGAGCCCAACATCATTATGCAGGGTTATTCCTGCGTGATATGCTCCTAGGTATTAGAGTTAGTCTGAGTTAGTGACTCTCTTTTCAGTTCTTCCCTTACCTTGTTCATACCCATGTGACAGGAGTGTCATGTTAGATAGTGACAATTACATTATAGTATCACATTATATAGTAGCTATGTGTTTACGTAAATGATTCTACCACTAGGTTTGAAGAACCTTGAGGCCAGAATGCTGTTTAATCTATCTTTATATGCCCTTCTTATAACTTACTGCTTGTTGAATTACTAGATGAAATGCAGATGGTGTCACAGGTAGAACTAGGAGAGGAAATTAGCCAAGGGGAAAAGAGGCAAGGAGAATACCACTGCAGGAGGTATAGTGGTCAGTTTTCCTGCACTGCCCATGTCCTTTCTTGGACAAGCCTTATCCCTGCTGTGAGATCAGTGGGCCTGACTTGGCCTGCCCGCAGGGTTGCAGCTATTTAGACCAGGAGTGGACACTTAACTCACGCTAAGCCAATCAGATTCCCCCTCTCATGAATTTGAAATAAGATCTAAGATCTCTAGTTGGTATCTGTTGGAAGTGTAAATGGAAAAATGATATAAATATGGGGCTGGCAGCAAGGTTGGCTCCTGGAAGAAAGGGGGAAGACACAGCTAACCTGAGGGGGAAGAGAGGAAAGCAGAGGTACAGAGAAGGACAGATAAGAAATAGTGTAATTTTGGAGACAGAAAGTACTGGGTATAGAGAATAGTTGTCTTGATTCTGGCTAGGTGACTAGTATGAGTTCTAGTCCCTCATAAGGCTTGGTCCCTTTCTCTACCCTTAGGTTCCATCAAATATTCCTATGACTGTTTAATAAGAACCACCTTTGCCTTTGCCAGCTTAAGTAGATTCTGTTTCTGGTACCCAGCCAATCTCAACTAGACTAGGACAACCACCACCTGAGTTCTGCCCATTATGGTGAATCCTTACTCAGTGTCACCAGCAACAGCATAGACCCATTCCTTACACCACAACTGAACACATGGATAACACAACCAGTAGCAGGAGCTTGCCCAACAGTGAAAGAAGACAATTAAGTTACATACCCTTTGCTGAATTTCTTGAATGGTGGCCTTATGACACTCCGACTTTTCACAACACAGTGACGTCCAACTCTTACATTTGCCAGATCCCCTCGGATAATACAGTCATTCATCACAATGGTCTATAAAACAAAGCACATTTAAAAATTATCAACATAGATGAAAACGTAGTAACAAAAAAAAGAGCAGGCAATAAGACAGTGACTGAGACTTGTACTTTGATCTACTGAGTCACATGTAAGGTTAAGTCCTTGTTTAAACCTTGATATGAACAAACAAACTACAAAAGAAGATCTTAAGATACTGGAAAGAGTAAATATGAACTGAAGATTAGATAACATTAGGGAATTACTTGTAAGGGAATTGCCCTCATAACAGTGACTGCATGGATTGTTATTAAAGTTTGTTCTCTGTGGCTTTCTTCACAAGCCATGTAGAGTGACTTTTATCTGAGTTACTATGTGGGTCACAAGGGCAAATTCAGCCACAAATTCCCAGAATTTGAGTTCTGACCCAATGGGAAATTGGGATATGCCAACAATAGCATTTACAAAAATGATGTCATGATCAGAAATTAGGCTTACATACATAAAAGTGTGATGGAGGAACTGAAGGGAATAATTGATGACTGAAATTACCAAAACAGTGATGTTTTGTGGTTTCCTCCTGACTGAGTGGGCCAGTAGGAGCTTCAAGTTGTCATTGGAGATGAACATATTTCTTTCACAACATCAAAAATTGGTTCCCTTATTGATGTATATTGAACCAAGGACCTAGAATACTTATAAGTATTTTATTATCTTGTCCAGGACCTGAAGAATTTGGTCTTCAGTCTTATTAGGTTACACTTCAAGGTTAAACCAATCTAGATTGAATACCTGTATGGATGCAAGAGGGTGGGAGTACATGTTTTCCATTACCATTATCAGGAAAGATTTGTGTATATCAGGTCAATTTTTTTAATACATTATAAAAGATTATCTTTTTTTAAAGATTTTGTTTATTTATTTATTTTTAGACAGAGAAGAAGGGAGGGAGAGAGGGAAAGAAATATCAATGTGTGGTTGCCTCTCACACACCCTGTACCGGGGACCTGGCCTGCAACCCAGGCATGTGCCCTGATTGGGAATTGAAACAGCAACCCTTTGGTTTACAGGCTGGTGTTCAATCCACTTAGCCAAACCAGCCAGGACAAAAAAGTGTCTTTAATAAATATAAAATACAATTTTTATTGTTTTAAAAAGATCTGAACGTGTGAAAAAAAATAAAACTGCGTGTAGCTGAAGATGTTCCCCTTACATTACCAGCTTTACCCTGAACATCCTATGAATAGGTCTCACTGGATGAACAAACATTTATTGGGAACACCTCTAGTAGACTTAAGTTATGCACCTCCTCAGATTTACTCAGATCCACCTGTTCCTAATCTGTGGCTGCTTGCTCAATGAGAGTCCTGGCTGCTCCTGACTTTGTCTTATCTGGTAACACAACTACCTCCAACTTCATACTCCCAGAGGTTCTGGCTCTTCTCCCAATTTCTGGACTCAGATTAAGTGCTGCAGCGCAGGGTGTGATACCTGACTTCCCCAGAGATTGCCCGGAGGGGTTGAATAACACAACCCAGAAATTTGGGGGAACTAATTCCCCATACTTGGTACAGAGTAGGCATTCTTGAAATATCTATTGAATTAATGAAGGAATGGGGCAAACAAAAAAAGTGCATATGGCTGGGGTGGCAGTTGGAAAAGTAAAGAAGGGACCAGATCATGAGGACTTCTGTACACTGATCATAGAAGCTTAGATTTTTTTTTTCCTAGAGGATATACATAAGGAATCAATGAAAGATATTAAGCTGTGGATTTAAACAAGTGAATGTTCATTTTAGAAATATTACTTTTGAAGCAGTCTAAAGTCTGAATGAAGGAGGCAGAAACTTCCACTGGAGGTAAAGTGACCCTTTAGATGACTACTGTAGATGAAGGTAAAAAGAGATAATGAACCTTACATAAGGCAATAGCTGTGCGTGAAAAAAGGAAGTAAATTGGAGGTACAGAAATCTGACCAAGCCTCCAGATCTAACTACCAATTTACAGGGAGGAAGGGGGATAGAGAACTCTTTAAACAACCCTATGTAATTACAATCAGCCAAATTTAGAAATCTGAAAATCCTACTGAAGAGTGATCCAATTTCCTCAACATAAAAATGGTAAGGGGGGGAAAAGAGGTGGAGAAAAAGAGCTGACAGATTAGCAAGACTTAAAAGAGACATAGCAACCAAATGCAATGTGTACTTGACCTTGTTTTGGATCCCATTTTAAACAAACCAAATGTAGAAAGATATCTTGAGATACTAGAAAGACTGAAAATGGACTGAAGATTAGATGATATTAGGGAAATAGTTTTTTTGAAAATAATTATAATAAGGGTACTCTATTATTAACTCTTTAAATATTAGTGATACATATTCAAAGTATTTATGAATGAAATATACTTCTTGCAATTTGCTTTGAAATAGTCCAGCTCCCTTCCCCTACCCTGGTCAAAATAGGTGTGGGTTTGGGGAGGGTCAGTACAGAGATGAAACAAGAATGTCAGAATCTGGCTAATTGTAGAAGCTGGTGAATTCATTTTATGTTCTCTCTACTTTTGTTCATGTTGTAAATAATAATACTGCTCATATAACAAGGAATGAACTACAAATTCACTGATACATGCAAGAAGAACATGGATAAGTCTGAATGACCTTATGCTGAGTGAAAGAAGTCAGACATCAAACATTACGTAATTCCAATTACATGAAACTCTGGAAAATGGAAAACTAATCTATATTAATTTTACATCAATGGTTACCTGGGGCCAAGGAAAGGAGGAGGATTGGCTGCAGAAGGCACAAGAAAACTAGGATGATGGAAATATTTTATATCTTGATTGTGGTAGTGGTTGTGTAGCATCAGTCAAAGCTTGTCACCCTGCCAGTGTGGCTCAGTTGGTTGGAGCATCTTCCTGTAGACCAAAAGGTTGTGGGTTCAATTCCCAGTCAGGGCACATACCCAGCAGGCAGGTTTGATCCCCAGTTGGGGTCCATATGAAAAAGCAACCAATAAATGTTTGTTTTTCTCTCACATTGATGTTTTTCTCTCTCTTCTCTCTCTCCCCCACCATTCTCTCTAACAGCAATGAAAAAAATGTCCTCAGGTGAGGATAAAATGTTAAAAATATTTGTCATACTACACACTTAAAATGAACATATTTTACTGTATGTAAATTACACTTCAATAAAAATAGTTTTTTAAATGATACATTATAAAATGTTAAAAAAGAAAGAGAATCTATACAACTTAGTCATTGTTTAGATGTTGGGGGTAAGAGAGTCTAGAATGGGGTGAGCAAGCCTTGGGATCAGACAAAAAATTCATTTGAAATGTTGACTTTAAGATTTCTGTGGGAAGACCAACGGGTAGTTCTAAATAAATATTTGGGGCCCAGGACAGAAGATCATGCTAAAGAGGCAGATGGAGACACCTCGCATATAGGTGAATTTAGATAAATCAATGACCTGAACACCAGGCTCTGATAGGACACTAAATGGGAAATGGACTCATACCTGGAAGAGTTAACCAATCTCACCTGCTTTTGTTCTGTCTGTAAAAACATCTACCAGTGGGGAAAGGGGGTGGGTGTAGGTAGAAGAGCATATAGGAGAGATAAATTGTAATGGAAAAAATACAACAAAAAATAAACTATTAAAAAAATCTATCAGTAAAAAGAATCTTTCGCATATGCTGCTGATTGTAAAGCATTACAGTTCTTGGTTTTTAAAAGCTATCTTCTTCAAGCTAAAAGAGAGGTCTATTTCTAGCATATACTTCTTTTATCTGAGAGACTTGATTTACTTCAATCATTGTTTTCAGTTTATGTTCCCATCTATAATCAGAGAAAATGACTGTCTTTGCTTTTAGAAGGAAACAGAATTCCCAAGAGTTCTGAATAGTTGGTAATAGGTATTGTAATTTTATTGTGTTTTAAATAAAGATAACAATCGTAATCTGGAAATAAAGAAAATCCATGTACAGTGGTGTCAGCCTAAATTATACTCCCACTGAAGAAGCAAACACACAGAAAACATAAGTAGTAAATCGTATCACAAGTGGTAAAGAAATTTAGCAAGAGGGACTTGTAAATCCTGGCTTCCTATTTATAAAAGGTGGAGCTGAAAAAGAGAAGTGATTCAAAATAGAGACAACAGTCTATTAAAATGAAGGGAGGTGCCAATAAGGACCTTACAGGGAAGAAAATGGTACTGAGGTAGAGTCACTGCACTGAACAGGAATAAGGCATAGGTAGAAGTTGGAGGTATAAGGATAGCACCTGGAAACCTGTTTTGTTTGGCCAATGGAGCATTTTTATCATATAAATTAGCTGTTATTATTTGAAGAGTGGGATGTTTTGCATTTTTTAAAATTCAGATTTCTAGTTTCTTTTGAGAGAATCGGAAGCTCTGGAAATACAGGCCTGTTTTCTCACTTGAAACAATCAGCTTGGGCTTAGCTAGGTCATGTATTCTCCCAGGTTACCAGGCCCCATCACTCCATTGTTTGCACCCAGTCCTTTTTACTCATTTGATCGCTGTCTACTCCTACAGGCACTGTGACACCTGATATGGGAGCTCAGAAAAACAGAAATGTCTTATTTCTAAAAGGGACAGGAGCTGAAAACATATATGGATTGTTCATAGTAGCAAAATTGGAAACAATATAAGTATCCACCAAACAGATGAGCGGAATAAATGGAACTGTACATAGCAGTGAAAATGCACAACCACATGAATCTTAGAAACAAATACTGTCATATAAGTGTTTTCTGTTGTCATTATTATGACAATTACATGTAAAAAAGTCACAGAAAACCGAGTAATGTTAAACAATCTTCATATATATTATTTAGGGATACATATGTATACAAGAAAATATTTTTTAAAATAAAGAATTCATATGACATGATGTTCAGGATAGTGGTTTCCTCTTGGAAGGAGGCAAAAGGAGGAGATAGGAGCAGAACATAAAGGTAGCACTGTATTATACACGTTATGTTCCATTCTTCAATTGGGGGGGGAGGTTCATGGTGTTAACTTAATTTTTATGTTTTATAATAATATATTACATATTACTCTTCTGTGTACATCAAATACCAACTAAAATTCCTTCTTAAAAAGAAACAGATAGGACTGCAGGAAGGGGGGGTAAAAAGGGACTAAATAGCAATGGAAAAAAATACAATAAAATTTTTTAAAAAAATAAAAAGAAACAGATGGCCCAAACCACCAAACAGTCTTGAAAAAGGACAAAGTTGGAGGACTCATATTTTCTGATTACAAAATAACTACAAAGCTACAATAACAAAAGTAGTCTAGTACAGGGGTACTGACATAAGGACAGACATATCAACCAAGGGAACAGAACTGAGAGTCCACAAATAAACATATACATCTACGGCCAATTGGTTTGCTACATGATGCCAAGACCATCCAATGGAGAAAGAATAGTCTCTTTAACAGACGGCACTGGGACAACTGGATTTCCATATCCAGAAGAATTAATGAATTAGGACTTCCTACATCACACCATACACAAGAATTAACTCAAAATGTACTAATGACCTAAATACAAGTCCTAAACCCACAAAACTCTCAGAATAGAGTAAATCTTTGTGACCTTGGGTATGACAATAGATTCTTAGACATGACACCAAAACTTGAGCAACAAAAGAAAAAAAATAGGTAAATTGGACTTCATCAAAATTAAAAACTTCTGTGTATCAAAGAACATCATCAAGAAAGTTGAAAGAGCCCTGGCCAGGTAACTCAGTTGGTTAGAGTGCAGTATTGATACCCAAGGTTGTCGGTTCAATCTCTGGTCAGGGCACACACAAAAAGCAACCAAGGCCCCGTCCAAGTATCTCCATTGACCGGAGCATCGTCCCACACACCAAAAGGCTGCAGGCTCCATTCCTGGTCAGGGCACATACCCAGGTTGTGGGTTCAGTCCCAGGTCTGGATGCATATGGGAGAAAACTGATAAACATTTCTCACATCATTGTTTCTTCTTCTCTTCCTCCCTGCCTTCATCCTTCTCTAAAATCAATAAAAATATTCCTGGGTGAGAATTAAAGTTATTTATTTATTTATTTTTAAGAGTTTCTTTTTCTTTTTTTAAGAGTACTTATTTATTTATTTTTAGAGGGGAAGGGAGAAAGAGGGGGAGAGAAACAACAATGTGTGGTTGCCTCTTGTGCACCCCCTACAGGGGACCTGGCCTGCAACCCAGGCATTTGCCCTGACTGGGGATTGAACCAGCAACCCTGTGGTTCACAGGCCGGCACTCAATCCACTGAGCCACACCGACCAGGGCAAGAATTAAATTTTTTAAAAAAGAAGCAACCAATAAATGCATAAATAAGTGAAACAACAAATCAATGTTTCTCTCTCAGATCAAATAAATAAAATTTTTTTAAAAAATAAAGTGAAAGATAATCTCAGAATGGTACAATTAATTTGCAATCATGTATCTGATAAGAATTTAATATCCAGAATATATAGAGAACTCCTACAACACAACAATGAAAAGATGACAATTTAAAAGTGGGCAAAGACATTTCTCCAAAGAATATATACAAATGGCTAATAAGCAATCAAAAGCTATTCATCAAGTCCTGGCTGGTGTGGCTCAGTGGACTGAGTGGTGGCCTGCAAACAAAGGGTTGTCAGTTTGATTCCCACTCAGGGCACAGGCCTGGGTTGCAGGCCAGGTCCCCAGTAAGGGGTGAGTAAGAGGCAACCACACATTGATGTTTCTCTCTCTCTCTTTCTCCCTTCCTTCCTCTCTGTCTAAAAATAAATAAATAAAATTTTTAAAAATTTTTTTAAAAAGAAAGCTATTCATCATCATTAGGGAAATGCAAGTCAAAAACTACAATGAAATACCATCCATACCCACATCCAAAAAACAGAAAATAACAAATGTTAGTGAAGATGTGAAGAAACTGGTACTCAATTGCATTGCAGAGGGAATGTAAAATGGTTTAGTCCTTATGGAAAACAGTTACAAAGTCACAAAGCTCAAGATAGAATTACCATAAGACTCAGCAATCCCACTCCTAGGTAAATACCCAAAAGAACTGAGAACAGGTACTCAAACAGATACTTGTACACCAATGTTCAGAGCAGCTTTACCCACAATAGCCAAAAGGTAGAAACAACCCAGAAGTGTTCAACAAATGAGTGGATAAACAAAAATATGGTACATACATACAAGAGAATATTATTCAGCCATGAAAAGAGTATGTGCTACAACATGGATGAACCTTGAAAAAATCATGCTAAGTAAGCCAGAACCGCCCACCCCCAAAGAAAACCCCACAAATACTATATGATTCCTCATAAATGAAATATCTGGCATAGGCAAATTCACAGAAACAGAAGTAGGCTGAGGTTACCATGGATTAGGGGCAGATGGGGATGGGGAGTCATTCCTTAATGGGTAGAGATTCTGTTTGGAAGATTAGAGTTTTGGAAACAGATAGTGGTGATGGTGGCACCACATTGTGAATGCAATTTTTGTCAATACATTGTATACTTAAACATGATTAAAATGGCAAATTTTGTTATATATTACCAGAATAAAAATTAAATCTTCCCTACAAAATCACAGAAAATGTTTTAGAATTAGCTGAAGGATTTCCAAAACACCTCTGTGCATTTGCTAATGAGTCAGATGGAGTTAAATGAATTTCCTATTGCTGTGCAAAAACAGTGTGTCTGTAACTACTAATTATATCTAGTTACTAAACTATAGTTCTTCTTCATTAAATCTCATGATATGATGGGCTAGTGAGGACAGTAACTGTGTCTCTACTGAAAATATTTGTGATCTCTTGATTACAGTGAGACTATATTCCCTCTGGAGATTAGAGATCTAACATTTCAAGGAAAATTGAGTATTCCAGATAATAGGAGACAGAGACTTCAGTGTTTATTAATCTCAAATATAGGTTGATATTTTCTCTGGTTCTGCAGTATTCTAATATTATTTCCAAGTTTATATTATGTCTGATATATATATTCCTATTATTATATATTATATTCCCATATATTATATATATATGTCTGCTAATTCAGTGTATTCATACTACAAGACTGAGCCTTTCATATTCCGTTCTACAAATTTGTCTCAAATTTTACTTTCTAAATTCTCACATTAATTTTAAGATTCAGTCAATACTGAATCATTATTATTAAACAAATAACTATATTAATGTAGTATTACTTTAGTTTCTATACTAAAATAGTTTGTTACCTATTTATGTTTTATGTCCAGTAGTTCAATATTGTGTAATAATTTCAGTTCTGGGTGCCACTGTATTGTGTTCCTGGCATAAAAGGAAAAAGGCTTTCTGTTGTCTTTTCTTATTGAATCTTTTGTAGTTAATGAATCCAATTTGAAAAATTAAAAACAAGAGAATTTTTTAATGTACAGCAATACATGGCAATATTTTACCTGTCCTGCCGTGATAATTTATGGAAAGTAAGCAACAGTCTGCATCCTGGAGGTGGCTTTATCCCTTACCTTGCCATTGAGAACGATGTTCTGACTTCCGCACAACACTGACTGGCGACTAACTTTGTTCCCAGATGCCTAAAAAGAAACAGCACGAAATGAGGGGGAGAAAGCTAAGTGGGTTTTGGGATATAGATCTCCATCAAGAAAGTTCATACTAGAGAGAAAAGGACTTGAAATACGATGTAGTCTACACTCCGATGAGTCCAAAATTTCAATAAAGAAACGGTGGAATGAATAGGAAACGAGTCAGAGAATGGATTCAGAATTTGGATGTGGTAGGTCTCTCTGTAGCCTACTGACATCAGAGGCATGGATTCAAGCCCCAATTCTATACCTCGATTTTAAAACCCTAAACCCATGATAATGACTTCACCAGTATCACACAGTTGTGAGAATTCAATGAAAAGCAATAGTAGTAACATTGACTGAGCAATTTACACACATCATGTATTGACTATAAATAACCGTACAATCTTTAGCACATAGTAATAAGTTATGACTGTTGTTTTTCTTTTTAATAATATTTAAAAGCCCGAAGCCGGGAGCTGGAATTAATACGATGGACGAGATTTGTCCTGCTTTCTGAAAAGCATTTTATCTCTACGAGTAAATCAGAATTAAATGAGAAAGCCTAAACTGGCCATTTAAGGAATAAACAACAAGGCCGGGCCATACACGCCCATACATGCCACAGGGACCCGCCGGGGTGGGTAGGGACAAGAAGCGGCACCGGCCCCAAAAGGACACAGGCTTGGAAAGGGAGAGCCGATGTGCGGACACGCGCGCACCGTCTCGATGTACTCGGATTTGTTGTAGAGCAGCTCGCCCAACTCCATGGCCACCAAGTCCTTTAAGCAGCTCCGGCGAGCTTCTGTCAAAGACTGTCAGCACTTCTGTCCGTCCGGGATGCTGACTACTTCCGGCGAATCCTACACTTCCGCTCCCAGGAGGACTCGGGTCTCATCAATAGCTCTGCTTTCCTCATGGCGGCCCAGCTCCGTTATTCTGCAGTGCCCGGCTGCGCATGCGCAAATCGAACGTCGGTCTTCATTGGCCGGGTTGACGGTGCGCGGGGATTCCGTGGACCAGCCTTCTGGTCGCGGGCTCGGGGAATCTGGGCGACCTATTCCTTCTGGAGGTGCCAGTGGGTCCCCAGGGCCAGCTATAGTTTTCGTGCCCGCAGCCCCGGGACGGCGACAGCTGCTCTTTTCGATTAGTTCGCAAGCGCGATGGAAGAGGCTCCCGGGAAACCCCTCAGTTGTGAGGACAAGGAAAAGGTGTTGGGGATACGGGAAGGGCTGACTCCGAACTCTGACCCCTCCCCAGATTGTGGGCGTGTCGTTGTCCCCGGCCGTACGGGGGCGCAGTGACCTCTAACCTACGCTCTTTGAATTCGGGGGCTTTCGAGGGGTGAAAGTGTAGAAGAGCGCTGTGCTCGCCTGGTAGCTTTTAAAGAACACATTTTTTAAAAAATTTTACAGCACTAACGCATAAATACAAAATGCACAACTGTAGATAAAGCTGAAGTCCCCATTGACTCTCTCTCTGCCCCAACACACTCGGCCTTGTCTTCTCCCACCCTACCCCTTAACTCTTAATAGAATGGTGGGGAGTGCGGAGGGGCGCGGTTGTATTCTCTAACAACCAAGAAGTAATGTATATTTTTGGGAAAGAGTGAGCATACATGGTACAGTCTTGATAGTTCTGCAGCTTCTGTGTTCCTTCTCCATGTTTCACTGAAATTCATGTTAGTACATGTTTATCGGCTCTATTTTTTAAAGTTTTGTGTAGTGTTCTGTAGTATGGAAGTGCCATGGTTTCTTTAGTTTTTACTCTGATGAGAGGTGGTTTTCAGCTTTGGTTTCTACATCAGTAACAGTGTTGCTCTAGCCATCCTTATTTATGCCAGTTTTGCTTATACTGGTATTAGCTAGAATGTATCTTGTGCAGGCTGTTCCAGACTTTGTGCTACACTCTTCATTCACATTAACCAACAACAGTCTTTTTATCCCAGCCTACCTTCTAATGGGGATGAGAGGGACATTTACAAGTCGAGATAATTCCCAGATAATTGATAAATCTGGTGATTAATAGGATGTTGTGAGAAGCAGTCTGGTATAGAGCAGACTCTAGGGTTGGACTGCATGGGTTTCAATCACATACCATTTATAAACTGTGATCTTGGACAACTGATTTCCCTCTGATCTTCCCTAGCCAGCTCCTTCATACTCCAGGTCTAGGTTCAAATGGTAGTCCTCAGAAATGAACCCTTGTCACCTCATTTAAAGTATAACTCTGGAGCTCTCACTTGATTACCTTGTAAAATCATGTTTTTTGTTTTGTTTTGTTGTTTATTGTCTTCATCATTCACTATATGTAAGCTTGACCACACTGTGTATCTATCTCCTGGAACAGTAGCTTACACCTTTACATACTAATACAGCTGTATTCCCAGCTGGTAGAGATACCTGGACCAATAACTGACAAATAAGAGATTCATTTTCCAAGTCAGTGTCTGAGAGTGACAGCTTCTGCTACCTTGGAGGATTTCACAGTAAGGGGGGTGGGAGGGGCGGTGTTGAGGGAACAGAGAAGTAAACAGATAACAGGGTATAATAAGTACTGTGATAAAAGAAGCATAGAGGAGAGATGGAGTGTCTAATCTGGGTTGACGAAGGACCTGGAAGTCTGTTCCAGGGAATTAAAAATCTAAGCTGAGGCTTGAGGAGTCAGTTAGAATTAGCAAAGTGAGTTGGGGAGGAAATGCTCCAGGTGATAAAAACAGTTTATGCAAAGGTACTGAGACAATAGAGGACTTGGTGCTTTGTGAGAAGTGAGAGTAATGTGGGCCGATGCCACTCGTACTGCCTCTTGCTGAGGAACCAGCTGAACACCACACACTCATATCTGGTAGGCACTGTACCACTTTTCTTTGCTCACTGTACCCTTTCCACTGCTCAATATTGTCTGGTGTTTTTCTTCTTCCAGTTGAAGGAAAAATTAGCATACTTAAAAAGGGAATACAGCAAGACTCTGGCCCGCCTTCAGGTAAGTGAATCTTATTCTCTCAAATTAAGGTGGTAAAGTACAAACTGTAACAAGTTTTTCTTCATAATAATGAAACTGAAAAAAAAACTTTTTTCCCTTAAATTTGTTCCTTAAGCTGCTTTTGCTTTCTCTAGCGTGCCCAAAGAGCTGAGAAGGTTAAGAATTTTATTAAGAAAACAGTGAAAGAACAAGCTTGTTTACTCCAACCAGAAGTTTCACCACAGCTAAACCATTCAGGTAAAGCTAGCCTATTCACTTGTGCTTGCTTCATTATTCATTTCAGCCAGGTGTAAAATACAGCCAGGTGTATTTGGCTGTGGTTCTTTTTCTCATAATCAGAAGGTAAGGATGCAATAGATTCTTTTAAGTGTACAATTTGATGTCTCTTTATATATTCACAAGACAGTGCAATCATCATCACTATCTATTTCCAGATCATTTTCACCACCCCAAAAAGAAACCCCATACCCATCCCTCCCTGAACCCCTGGCAACCACGAATCTATTTTCTGTTTCTATGTATTAACTTGTTCTGGACAATTTATATAAATGAAATCATATGATATGTGGCCTTTTGTGACTGGCTTCTTTCACTTAGCATGATGTTTTCATTGGTCAGCCATCTGAACATACATACATCCAGGCATGCATCATTACCCATTTCCTTTTGCAGCCGAATAGTATTCCACTGTATAGATGTACCATCCATCTGTATATCCAGCACTTGATGGACATTTGGGTTGTCTCCACTTTTTGGCTATTATGAATTTGAGCTATTATCCTGCCAGGAATACTCATGTATAATCATTTGTGTAGACTACGTTTCCAATTACTTCAAGTATATACCTAGGCATGCATTTGCTGGGTCATGTGGTAATTCTTTGTTTAACTCTTTGAGGAATTGCCAAACTTTCCTATAACAGCTATACCATTTGCATTCCCACCATGATGCCTAAGGGTTCCAATTTTTCCACATCATCACCAGTACTTGTAATTTGCCATTTTAAAAATGATAACCATCCTGGTGGATGTGAAGTGGTATCTAATTGTGGTTTTAATCTGCATTTCCTAGTGACTAATGATGTTAAACATCTTTCCATATGCTTAGAGGCCATTTGTATATCTTTAGAGAAATTTCTATTCAAGTCCTTTGCCAATGTTTTAATTAGGTTATATGTTCTTTTATTCTGGTGTTGTAAGGGTCCTCATATTGTAGCTGTTAGGCCCTTATCAGATACAAGATTTGTAAATATTTTCTCCCATTCTATAAGTAATAAACTATGCTTTCAGTTGGATTGTTTATTTAGTGTTCTTTTTCCCTCTCAACTTTTGGAAATTAAACTTACTGATTAATTATTGTAAAGATTTTTTAAATTAAATTTCTACATATGCACTGAGAAAAATGTCTGGCAGGAAATACTCTAAAAAACAGTGGTCATTTCTCATGTTAATACTTAGATAATTTATAATCATAAAATCCAAGGCTATTGAAATGGGGAAGAGGTATTAAAATTGCTTAAGCAAAAAACTGCTGCAGCAGAAGAGGTGGTGGAAGCAGAGAGAGGCGGATCTGGCCAGAGGTTAGGGGCCTGCAGGGCGACCCTACAGTGGGCCCGCTCACCACCCTAGGGACCAGTGGAAAACTAAAAACCTCCATGCCCTTTAAAAAAAAAGACATGAAATAAAAAATTAGGTAAGATATGGAGGGAAATGGGGAGATGTTGGTCAAAGGGTACAGAGTTTCAGTTACACAGAATAAATAAGTTTTGGAGATCTAATGTGTAGCATGGTGATAATAATTAATACTACACGTATATTGTGTATTTGAAATTTGATAAAAGAACTGATCTTAAGTGTTCCTGCCACACAAAATAACTGTAGCTATGGGATTTGATGGTTATGTTAATTAGTTTGGTTATGGTAACATTTTGCAATGTATACATATATCAAAACATCACATTGTACACCTTAACTTTATACAATTTTTGTCATTTCTACCTCAATAAATCTGAAAAAAACTAAGAAAAAAGGTGATTTCAGTAAAGATAATTTTTTAATCATTTTTCTAGCACAATTCTATTTGTTTACATTTACTTAAAATTATTCTGGTTTATTAAATTATGAAAAACTTGAACTTCAGTCTGCCTGAATGAAATACATTGACTTTCTTAAGTAAATATTTGATAGTATTTATAGATAACATTTAAAAATAAATATTTTTGTTTCCTTTTAAAAGGAAAATATTAATTATACAATTTTTCCTCCTTAGAACCTAAAACTCCTGTATCTTCTTGTGATGCATTACAAATCAACACCTGTCTTGATGAAGAAACTGGAGCTGTTGAGCCTCAGACCCTTAACCCTGGACATGGCCCAGTGGAAGGATTAGACATGCAGAGAAAAGATGATATCCAGGAATATTTTGCCTACAGGGTCAGTGGCCCTGATGATAAGAAAAAGCAGAGTAAGCTGCCAGGGAGAAAAAAGAAGCAGCAGAAGAGAATATTTATTTCACAAGAGAAAGACTCTTTCTTTGACACCAATTCACTTATCCTCTCTGAAAAAAGACTAAACAAACAAAAAGAAATCAATAGTGAAAATCCTGGGACACCTGTAACTAAAACAAGAACCAAGTTTTCAAGTCCTCAGTCTGACATTCCAGATTCTCGAGCACCAGTTACAGAAACTAATGGAGGGAGTGTATTAATTCCATTAAATACCAAGCCACAAAGCAGTGTGGATGCTGTCTTAGGAGAAAACAGTTTTCCTGGGGTGCCCCCTCCTCCTTTTTATACTCCATCAGATAACAGCAGTGGTCCGCACCTTCAATATAAGCTTCCTAAAAGGAACTGTGAAATTATTGCTCACGGTTTAAAAAGCATTAGCCTTACCGCACCTATAAACTTAGAGGCACACGACAAAAACACGACTGTCTTTAGAGGAAGCCCAGAGGTAAAAAAAGCTGTAAGTGCAAGTGGCCAGCAGCCTGGAAGTCTCGAGTTAGAGACAGATAATGCATGTTCTGTAAATGAACTCACTTACAACTTACCAGCAAATGAAAACCAAAATTTAAAAGAACAGAATCACACAGAGGAGTCTTTAGAATCTTCCAGTAATGCCCTTGATAAACAAAATCACACAGGGGAGTCTTTAGAATCTTCCAGTAGTGCCCTTGATAATAGAAGTGAAAGTCTTCAGGAAAATGAGGTTCTGAGTCAGTCTAAGAGTCTTGGCCCAAAAGTAGTCGCTTCTGTTTCTGCAGAAAATCAAACACATTCTTGCACTGTGCTAGAAGACCTTCTTTTTCCTGCTGAATATTATGTTAGAACAACACGACGTATGTCAAATTGCCAGAGGAAAGTAGCCCCAGAGGCTGTAATTCAAACTCACTTCGATGTCAGAAAGAAAAGAGTTAAAAATAAGGAAGCTGCTAAAATTTTAAACCTTTCCAATGAAGAAACTAACCAAAATATGATTAAGGTGTATGGCACATGCACAGGACAAACAAGTTCAAGAAGTCCTTTTCAGAGACTTCTCTCATTAACTGAAGTCAGCTCTCCCACTGGGCCCACTAAAGATGACTTTTCTAGGAAGGTGGTGACCCAGCAATCCAGTAGAAGACGCAGAGGAAAAAGAAGGTCAATCTGCAACCCTACATCATATCATCAACTACTCACTTCTGGCATATCAGGTGTTAACAGGTCCAAGGAAGAAGTCACCTTGCACAAAGATCAGAATGAAAAAGCAATTATTCATGGTAAGAGGAGAGTTAAAGGTAAATCAGTGTGAGGTTGAGGATGATGACAGTGATGGCGTCCAATACTTTATGCCTGGCACCTTCTAAATGTTCTACAGAAACTAACTCAGATCATCACAGCCACCCTACAGGAGGTAGAATCAATTTTTTTCAGAGATTGTATTGATTTTTTAGAGAGAGGGGAAGGGAGGAAGAGAGGAAGAGAAACATCAGTAGGCCGCCTCTCACACTACCCCAACCGGGGACCTGGCCTGCAACCCAGGCATGTGCCCTGACAGGGAACCAAACGGGTGACCTTTTGAGTTCGGCTGTTGGTGCTCAGTCTACTAAGCCACACCAGCCAGGGCAGAATCAATTTTTATCCTCACCTTACAGATGAGGAAACTAAGGCACAAGAAGATTAAAGTGTTTAATTAAAATGACAGAACCAAGGTTCAAACCTTGGTCATGTGGTGCCAGAGTTAACTAGTGTGGTTAAAAAAGTTGACACCCAAAAGGAAAATATATTGGACATTTAGCTAAAATTAATATTCAGGTACAATACAATCTTTATCCATGGATAGAAGTATAAGTAATATAGGAATTGTTTTTGAATTGAAATGTGTGTCAGAGTAAGAGGTCACTGACAAACTTGAAGGAATGATTGCGTAAATGCAATAGGTCTGAGCAATTTTTTTGGATTAAATATCCAATTTAGTCTCTGAGGTCTGTGGGATGCATGATTTTGGAAGATAGCAAGTGACATGTTATGATTTAAAATTTTTAATTCATTTACTTGGGAGTTACCATATGTGTAAACTAAGCATAAAAACTAGATAATTCACTCTGGCGCTATACTAGAGATCAGTAAACTTTCTTTAAAAGGTCATGTAGTAAAGTGTCTTTGTGCTCTGTCAGAGCTATTCAAGTATAGTGCAAAATTAGCCACAGACAATGCAAATATGACAGTGTTTCAGTAAAACTTTGTTTACAAAACTAGCGAGCCTGCCCTGGCTGAGTGGCTCAGTTAATTGGAGCATCATCCTGTACTCCAAAAGGTTGTAGGCTTGATCCCAGGTCAGAGCACATACCTAGGGTGAGGGTTTGATCCCCAGTCTGGGTGCATATGGGAGGCAACTGATTGCTGTTTCTCACATCAATGTTTCCTTTCTCCCTCTCCCCCCCACTTCCGTCCCTCTCCCCTCCCTCAAATCGATAAACATATCCTCGGGTGAGGATTAGAATAAAAAATAAGAAGCCTGCTTGCTCTGTACCTTTGGGTTCAAGCTCTGGTCTATGAACTATAACTAGTTAATAAAGTAATTAAAAATAAAGAGTCATAATGACTTACCATCCAACAAGAATACAAAGAAATCAGAAAGCAAAACAATCTCATAAACTAGAAACATTCTTTTATATATGTTGGTATAATCTGTTGCTATTTTAGTAACCTGCAGCTACATTAAAATATCTTTTTCTTGAGGTGAGCTTCACATAACAAAATTAACAAGTTTAAATTCAGGGAACAATTCTGCAATATTTAGTATATTCAGAACATGCAACCTTGATCCCTACCTAGTTCCAAAACATTTTCAGCACATTACGTGGAAACCCTTTTCCCACTTCATTTCCTCTTCCCCAGCCCCTGGCAACCACCAGTCTGTTCTGTCGCTGTGGATTTACTTATTTCATACCAAGGGAATTATACATAGTGTGGCCTTTTGTGTCTGGCTGCTTTCTCCTTGTTTGCAAGATACATCCATGTTCAAGTGTGTGTGAGTAGTTCTCTTTTATGACTGAATAATATTCCATTGCATATATGTAATAAAGTTTTATTCATTTATTAGGTGATGGATGCAGCTGCATTATGAATGGTGTAGAATTCCAGTCTCTAAGAGTAGTAAATAACTCTTTGCTTGAAAGGGAGACTAAGTTTCCTCCAGTGAGAACAGCCAGTATTTTGTATACTGTACTCTGGAAGTCTGTTAGAATCATAGTTTCAGAGCATAAAGTTCTTTAGAGATTCTTAGTCCAGTTCCCCTATGAGGGAAAATGAAGTGAATTGACTTGCCCAAAGTAACATAGCAAGTGAGTAGCCAAGCTGGGACTAGACTCCTGTCTTCTTCCCCCAACGAATACTGTCAGCACCATACTGTTTTGGGTACTGCAAAAGGAGTGCTGCTACTAACTACAAATCTGTGGCTGATATTTGAACTCTTCAGAGTTGTCAGAGTCATGGATAGGAAGTAATGAATCTGTTATACCCTGTTGGAGTTTAGAAATGCACTCTGTTGGGGGTTAATGTCTCTTCTTGGGTATTTGTTATTGTTTTTCCTTTCTATCTTAGGGAAAGAAGGTCACTGCCAAAAAGAGGACTACTTTTCTTCCAGTAATAATGCTTATTTAGCTTTGGGCAGTGATGCTTTCAGTGCCCCATCTCATAAGAATGAAATGTTAAGTTTAAAGCAACTGTCATCTTTTCTCAAAATCACAGACTTTCAGTTACCTGATGAAGAATTTGGACCTCTTAAGCTTGAAAAACTGAAGTCCTACTCAGAAAAGCCAATTGAGCCTTTTGGATCAAAAGTATATGGAGATAGGCATCTTAAAGAGGGAAAATGTATTGTTTTGGAAGAACTGACTCCTAAACAAACCAACATAGAAATGGAGGACTTGGGAGAGGAACTGATTGTTCTACCAGGAAAAGCACATCCTAAAATACCAAATCTAAAAAGCCAGGCTCAGCAGAAGGGCCTTTCCTCATCGATATTACTTTTCACTCCTTTAAATACTATTACTCCTGAGGATAATGACAAAGTGACATCAGATGTGTGTTCACCTGCCTTCCCCATCATCGGCACTACTCCAGCCCTTGGTCCCCAAGCATGCAAAGTGTCCGTAGAAGTTACCGGACTAAGTTGCTCTTCACCCCAGCTTTCTCATGGGAAAACCAGTGAGAGTCATCAATGTGACAGTTGCACCAGCCCACCAAAATTTGATGGCATCCTCCATGTGTCAGGAAGGAAGGGACAGCTTGACTATGACTGTGATTCTGATCCCCAAGCAACACCTCTCCCCACTGAGTCATTCACTTTCAAAGAAGATCAGCTCTGTGGAAATACATCCCTAGAATCATGGAAACATTCCATTGAACAGGTACAGTCCACTTCCTTTGTAACATTTTCTCTGATAGAATGAAATACTTTAGTGACTGTGGACAGCATGACTTCCTTACACATTGGTTTCTCAGTATTTAAGACTGTTTTTACAGCCTTGGTTGGTGTGGCTCAGTTGGTTGGAGCATCATCCCATTGACCTAAGGGTCACAGGTTTGATTCCCGGTCAGGGCACATGATTAGGTTGCGGGTTTGGTTCCCAGTTGGGGCATGTACGGGAGGCAACCAGTCAATGTTTCTCCTCATAAAGATGTCTTTCTCCCTTTCTCCCTCCCTTCCCCTCTCTAAAATCAGTAAGCATGTCCTTGGGCGGGGATTAAAAAAAATTTTAACATGTTTCTTTGATATGATTTCACTGTAAACTTTAAGTTCATTCTGGGGAAATTAAAGTTAATTTAAAGGTGGATCTTTAAAATGGAAGGGGGGTCCTATTTGTCATCAGTGAAGCAGTTTGCCATATGAATTAGACATTTTGATGAGTGAGTGATGCAGTCAGATGTCATATGTAAAGAGTAGATTAATGGTGTGACTTTTATTTTTACAGACTGAAATAACAGATGTTCCTGCTTGTGACAGCTTAAACCCAGGCAACCTACAATTGGTTTCAAAACTTAAGGTCAGGAGACTGTAACCTTATAATGTGTCTTGTGTCTTACATGTAAAAAATATAATGAATTGCTAGGAAAATAGAGAAGAGTGCCCTGGCTGGCGTGACTCAGTGGATTGAGTGACAGCCTGTGAACCTAAAGGTCGCCAGTTTGATTCCCAGTCAGGGCACATGCCTGGGTTGTATGTCTGTCAGGTCCTCAGTTGGGGGTGTGTGAGGCAACCAATCGATGTTATCGCTCTCACACATTGATGTTTCTCTCCCACCTGTCCCCTCTCTCTAAAAATAAATAAATAAAATAAAAAAGAAAATAGAGAAGAATTTGATTAGTTTTTCATTCTTAGTTTAATAAACTTGGTTAAAAAAAGATTCAGAAAAACAGATTTAAGTAAGTTCTTTGTTTTTCACAATATTTACTTGTATTTATATTTTGAGATCATCTTCTAAAGAAGTTTTTATGTCAAGCTATTGCCAAGAACAACTTAAGCTCAATAACTCATCTAAATTAAAATCAGGCATTTTAACAGAGGGAGAGAAAGAAGAGGAGTCATTCATGGCTTTCCTACCCAAATGATATGTTATTTCTAGAAGAACCACTTATGGTGATTTATCAGAAAACAGGTAGCAGTTCTTGATTGTGATGTAGTGAATGGTTAATCTTTCATATGCTGTGTGATATATGTGGTTCTGAGAAATATAAATTACAATATTCTGTTAATGATATTTTAGTAAATCCTGAGAAAAAGATTAGACCTGTGACCTAGTTAACTTTGTATTCATGGTATTTGAAGTAGCTTGGTGTAGAGTAGGGTTTATCAATTTGAGCACCATTGGCATTAGGCACTGGATAATCATTTGCTGTGGTGCGGGGCGCGGGGCGGGGTGGGGGCGGGTTGGATAGCCTGTGCATTGTAGGATGTTCAGCAACAGCCTTGGACTCTACCAAATGGAACCAGTAGCACCCCCTCCCTAGTTGTGACAATCAGAAGTGTCTGCAGACATTGTCAAGTGTCCCCTGGGAAGCATTGCAAAATTGCCCCCACTTGAGAAAAGTGGTATAGGAGCAAGCTTTAAATACACATAAACTGTGCCAATTGGCTTTCTGACCTTCGGCAAATCATTTAGCCTCGGAGCCCCAGGTTCCTTTTCAATAAGATATACATAATAATACCTATGTCATTTCAAAGCTATTATTGAACCAATTTTAATAACTTAGTTTCTTTAGGAATCAGCCATTTCATTTGTCTTCAAGTTTGTAAGTAATATTACTTACTGTTTTTATATTACTTTGTCTATGTACAGTTATAAGCCTCTCTTTCCCCATTCCCCCATTTCTAAAAGTATTTCTTTCCTACATCAGACTTAAGAGATTTGTCCATTCTGTTTGGTTTTCCAGGAAAACTAGTTTTTGGTTGTATTGATTAATTGAGGTTTTTGTTTCCTATTTCATTTATTTTTCCTGTTTTTATCCTTAGTACCTTCTTCCTTCTGCTTTTCATTGTACTTCTTTCATTGTTCTTTTACTTTCTTGAGCTGCTTGCTTGCTTTGTTTTTATCTTTTTTGCTTTTTGATAAATGCCTTTATGATTGATTATACATTTGGGGGGAAATCTTGCTTTGGCCACACACTGCATGTTTGGATGCCTAGCACTCCCCTTGCTGGTCATTTAGAAACAGTATTTCAACCAATGGGTGGTTCATCAGGATGTTTAATTTCTAAATGGTTAAGTTGTTAGAGGCTATCTTTTATGGCTAAATTTGAATGTATTCCATTCTGGAGGTATACCTTTCAGTTATAAGATAAGAGTGTATGTGCAATTTTTTTAGTTACATTTAACACCCACCAAGCTCTTTAACTTACATAAAACTTTAATTACATTTACTTGGTATTTTAATTTTTGTCATGCATCACTTTTCATAGTTATTCTTTTCATAAAATGGACTCCAAGTATCCCTTTAACGTAACTGTTGTTGCCATTCTGTCAGAATCCCTCAGGTTCCTGTCCCGTGGATGTGAGTGCCATGTGGTGGGAGATAGCTGGTATCAAAGAGCCATGTATCGTAACTGCTTGTGAATATGCAGTTTCTCTTTGGAAACCTCTGGATATTTGGCAGTGGGAAAAAATGTATTCCTGGCACTTCACAGAGGTGAGTCCCTTCTGAAAGAGATCTTTGTGATCATTTGCATGTGAGGCAGAATAGAGAGGTAAGCTTTTTTCCCAGCATTTTATTATGAACATTTTCAAACATACAGAAAAATTGCAGTGATCACTGTGTACCTGACATCTAGACTCTACAGTTCACATTGTGCTTTATTAGCTTTATTACGTGTTTATCCATCAGTGGAGTTTTAGACTAGGTCTCTTGAAGCAGCCTGCAATTTCCAGTCTATCTCACTTCTAAACTTGCTGATACCTGTTTATCTTACCCTTCATGAACACATTGTTCCTGCTTCTTTTCTGCATGTGTTTTCTTCCAGACCTTATCCACTTTCATACATGTTGTACCTGATTGCAATCCTAGTGTGATTAAACTTTTTTAATCTGGTTTTTCTCACTTAGGATATATAAACACTTCTTCTTGTAGCTATATATTCTTCATACTTATCTATTTAGAATTTTATTTATTTTTCCAGCTATATTCCAGTATAATTGGCAAATACTCATAAACTTGTTATATATATGTGTGTATATTTAATCTTCACCCAAGGATGTTTTCATTGATTTGAGAGAGAGAGGAAGGGAGAGAGAGACAGAGACAGAGAGATAGAGGGAGAAACATCAATATGAGAAACATTTATTAGTTGCTTCCCGTATGCACCCAGACCTGGGACTGAACCCACAACCTAGATATGTACCCTGACCAAGAATCGAACCCAGAACATTTTGGTGTATGGGATGACACTCCAAACAACTAAGCCCCTGGCCAGGGCTAAACTTGTAATATTTTTAAAGTATACTCTATGATCATCTGATATGTGTACGTATACAGCGTGAAAGGAGTCCCACAATTGAGTTAACACATCCATCACTTTGCATAGTTGCCTTTTCTTTTTAATCCTCACCCGAGAATATGCTTATTGATTTTAGAGAGAGAGAAAGGGGAGGGGAAGAAACATTGATGTGAGTGAGAAACATTGATCAGTTGCTTACTGTGCACGCCCCAACTAGGGATCAAACCTGCAACCTAGGGTCTACTCTCTTAGAAGATTTCATTCTTATCCCTGGTATATATATCCATAGCTTCTAGCTCTGTGCTTTTGCTCAATAAATATTTGTTTAGGGAATACATTTATATTAAATGGCTGCATAATGCTCCATTAGCTCACATGCCAGAATTTACTTAGTTACTCCACATAGGTTGCATTAAATAAATACTATATAAACACAGTTATGCGTATAGCTTATTTGGATTTATGACTCATTAAAAGAGGGTGTTTGCTGAACATTCTCACATTTCTCCAAATGTTGGAAACTATCCTGCTACAGTAAGAATAAAAAGGAATGCAACAAATTTTGAAAAATTTAGATTGATTAAAAATGAAACAACCAAATGTCATATTTAGTTCTTTGTTTTGTTTAGTTTCCAGTATTACAGATAGTTCCTGTGCCTGATGTTTGTAATCTGGTGTGTGTGGCTTTGGGAAATTTGGAAATCAGAGAAATCAGGTATGTAATTCTTTGGGGAAAGGTGTTTTGGTTTTTTTTTTCCCCCTTTCTCTTCCATATTTCTTTCCCTTTATTCCCTGTCTGAAGTTTCCATTTAAAATTTACCTGGTTCTTGACTATTAAAGACTTACATCTGAATTCTCTGCATTTTTCCTTATATTTTGTTTAGAGCATTACTTTGTTTCTCTGATGGTAGAAGTGAAAAGCAAGTGCTCCTGACTTCTGGAAATATACAAGCTGTGCTTGGCCTGACAAAGAGGAGGCTAGTCAGTAGCATTAGGACCCTTTGTGATCAACAAATAGAGATTGTGACAATTGCTGAAGATGGAGGGTAAGAAAAGCACCAGTTGATTTTAACTATTAGATAAAGAATGATTTTATCCCAGGGTTTTGGAGAAAGTTGGATCCCCTAGTATCTTGTTTTTCTGTTCTATAGGCTTGGTATCTCAGGTTCTGTTCACTACTGGGCCATAGAAGCAGTTTAGAGGGGTGGAAGTGACATGCAGGGAGGAAGTCCGTGCAGTGGAGAAGCTTAGCAAAATGTAGTTTGCTCTTTTTGTCATCTCTGAAATTTCTGTGTGCCCCTTAAATGTTACAAGTATCTCAAGATCCTAGACCCTTCTTTTGTTCCACACACTTGGTTTTCATGGCTTCTCTTACTATCTAGAATAAATACTGGCTAATAGCAGCCATATGTTTCCAGCTCTGAGCTCCTTGTTTACCTGCAGACCTGCATGCCTATTTAATAGGCGTCCAGGGTTCCCTCAAATTCAACATACTGAAAATGAAGCTTCTAGCATCATCCTCTATGTTATCATATACTCATTTATATACTTTATTATGATTTTTTAAATCTGTTTTTCCTAATAACAATGAGCATGGATCTTGTTTGTCTTATCTTTTTATGAACTGTTGCAATAATCCAGACAAAAGAAAAATAATTATTTGCTTAAATTAGGGAAGTGTTAGTGAAGATGGGGAGAAGCAGACAGATTTGGGAGAGATGAAATGATAAAATCACTAGGTCTTGGTGATTAAGGAAACAGAGAGAAAGGACACAAAGATAATATCCAGGTTTCTGGTTTGGTCACCTGGGTAGATGGTGGTATCATTTGTTGAGATAGCATACAGAAAGAAAAACAAGGTTTAAAGAGAGAACTAGTAAGTTTAATTTTGGATATGATGAATTTGAGGACTTGCAATATATTCAGGTCGATAATATAAATAATATGTATTGTACAAAGTTTAGAATATACATGTTTTCTGATTGAAACTTCTTTGTGGTCTTAGGTTTTTTTAAAGATTTTATTTATTTATTTTTAGAGAGGGGGGAAGGGAGGGAAAAAGGGAGAGAGAAACATCAGTGTGCGAGAGAAACAGCGATTGGTTGCCTCTCACATACCCCCAAACCGGGACCTGGCCTGCAACTCAGGCCTGTGCCCTGACCAGGAATTGAACCAGTGACCTTTTGGTTTGCGGGATGATGCCCAACCCACTGAGCCACACCATTCAGGGCAGGTTAGTGTTTATTGTACAGAGTTCAATAATATGTAGAAGGACTGCTTAGAAACTGCTTTAGTACATAGTGCTGGTTTTTAATACTATTTTAAATGCAGGAGCAAAGAAAAACAGTTTTTGATGCCCCTCGAGGAGACTGTACAAACTTTTGCTGAAGTTCAAGGGATGCAGGAAGCTCTGCTTGGTACCACTATAATGAACAACATTGTTATTTGGTAAGTTTTCCCTCAAGATCCTCAGTTTTCTCTTCTATAATATAAATATATACCTCTTATTTCACAGGGTCATTAATATTAGATAAGAGACTCTAAATATGATTGTGTTTTTGCTTGTTTACTGTCAGATGCTATATACTTGTCCTAACAAGAATGTCATATTAATTCAGACATTGTAAAAAAGATAAGTCTGAGTAGACTGTAAATGAATGAAATTTTATTGGCCATAAGTAAGATTGTTTCTGCTTCTGACTAATGGCTGTGTGGCGTTTATCAGACCAGCTCTCCTACTTCAGGTAACTTTAAACCCTGGAATAAATATAAAAATCAATTAACTGAAGGCACTGGAGAGTGAGAAAAAGAAGAAAGATACTGAAAGGAGTTTGACCCTTAGAGGAAGGAAATGTCACTGGATGGGTTTCTCGTTCTTACGACTTTTAATAGAGGGTGGGCCCCAGTTTGCACACTGGGTGGCCAAAAAACCTGATAGAAAACCTTCTGTCTATTGGTTTAAAGAACCACATGACAAGAGTTCAGTGTGACCACAGAAGCTGGAAAGTGAGGGAGAGAAAGCTCAAAGAGTCAGAGAAGAGCACTAAACTCTGGCTATAATCTCTGCCTTAATATTTGGCTGACCTTTAAACTACATGTATGCAGGGCAGACTCAGAGAAGCCCAGATAAGGCAAAAAGAACTGAACTGGGTTTTCAGCAATTGGAATTTGAGTTTATCCAAGTTAACTGTTTACTAGGAAAAAAAAATTAATATTCTTCAGAGGAACCTAACAGAATCCACAGTTTATGTGAAGTGTCATTCGTGATGTCTAGAATGCAATCCAGAATTGCTAGATATATAAAAGTGTTTAATTACAGAATCCATATTAACAACTTTGTGATAAGTTGTTAACACAAAAGTCAAAGAGTCTCCAGCCACCTCTCTTTCCTCACCACAGAGAGAACTATATCCGACCATCAGTATTTGCAGAATTAATTTGTATTAGGAGAATAGATTGATTTTTTTTTTCTCAGAAACCTTTTCCATCAACTGTTTCCTTGGGGCCATAATGGGTCTTGGTAAGTGAAAGTTATGATATTAGTGTCACTACTACCCTATCCCTTCTGCACTGTCCAGTGCTAACCCTCTAGGGATAAAGCAGGAAAGCATGGCCTGTGAGAGAAACCTTGCCCCTCCTCACCAGGGAGCCTCTAAAACTGGACCTTGTTCTAACATGCCAGAAGACCCTGTTTTCAGATGTCCTGCTGTCTAGAACAGCAGACTCTCACGTGGGCACTTTCCTCAGGTCTCGGGTCTTATTTGAGGACAATGTCCTTTACAAAAGTTGTCTTTTCTGTTCTTTCTGCTATTTCTATAGTCCAGACCTTTACTATTTAGCTCCTAGACTATTAATTTAATCCAGTAATAGCCATCAATCAATACTCAACCTCCAGATCATCTTTTTTAAAAAATCTTGTTAAGAAAAGACTTTATTTATTTTTAGAGAGAGGGGAAGGGAGGAAGAAAGAGGGAGAAAAATGGTTGCCTCTCATACATGCCCCAAACAAGAACCAAACCTGCAACCCATGTATATGGCCTGACCATGAATCGAACTGGTGACCTTTCACTTCGCGGGACAATGTCCAACCAACTGAGCCACACCAGCCAGGGATTAAATTTTATTTTTTATTTATTGACTTGAGAGAGACAGACAGACAGACAGACAGACAGACATTGATATTTTTTTTCTACTTATTTATGCATTCATTGGTTGATTCTTGTATGTGCCCTTACTGGGGGTCAAACCTGCAACTTTGACGTATCAGGGCAATGCTCTTACCAAGTGAGCTACTTGGTCAGGGCCCTCCAGATCATCTTCTATGCTATTATTTTATAAACACCCTTACTCCCAGCCTTCTCCCCTCCGCCCCGAAAATAGATACTTCCATGGGGCCCGTGTTTGCTTTTCTTTAGCTTCTATTTCCCTCATGCTTACAAAAATTCCTCTTCAGTTATTCCATATTCCTTAGGTCCCTGTTTTCTCCCCATCTCTCAGTTCCCCCCTTTTGCTAATAGCATTTCACGTAAAATGGATCATGACAAAATTTGAAGTTGAGGAAGGATCTCTGTATTTAGCTTCTAAGAGTAAGTTTAAGTTCTAAGGAGTACCTTCCCCCACAGCTGCCTTGAGTTCTGTGCTATCACCTCTGTCCTCATTGGTGTTACCCTGTCTGAATTCATGTGGCCCTGATTTTTAATTTAGCATATGATACTTTGTATTATGAAAGTCCCTGAAGACAGTACCATATCTTTTATCAGCTAACAGTGCTTGCCTTAGCTCCTTACATGGGTAGCTACACAAAGATGTATGGCTCATACTATCTATCAAAAGCTATCTTTTAGGGCTCAGGCTTTCTCTAACTTGGTATGTACAAGTAGCAGTTGTTCACTTCTCCTGTGGGACTCCTGATTTGTTAGGTACCTAAAGCAATTCATATTACACTCCAGGTTCAAATGGCTCATTTTGAAACTGTTGTTGAAGGTTTAAATATTTAATCATGCTCAAGCTGTATTAACTAAGCACCATCATTCAATTATTTAATATATATTTGATTCTCTACTCCTCTATGTGAGATGCAAATATAAATCAGATATGAATCCTGGCCCCAAGGCCCCTAAAATCTAGTAAGTAAATAAGATTGCTTTACAATTCCAAGTATACAATTCCTTTATAGTTCACACAAAGTCAGAGTGATAGAGATTTGGACGGCATGCTTTGGGATTTGGGAAGAGAGCAGTTACCACATACAGAGCATGCACTAACCTCTGTAAGGGATAAAAGCCTGCTCTGGGTAACTTGTATGAGGAAAACTTTGTGTACTTACATGAGAATTTAGTTTTCTACCTTTAGTTTTTGTATATAGTACCTGGGCCATAGAAAGTTTAGAAGTATTTGTTGAATGAATACATTATACCCTACCATAGTATATATTAAGTAAAAAATGAGTCATATGTACAATGTAGGATTGAAGGTGAGGAGGTTTCTGCAGACTGGTACAGATAGGGAGGATTGATGAAACTGAGCTCGTGCAGCTGGGAGGAGTTGGGATATAATCCGGGCCTTGACGAATGAGTGACCATTGGTCAACATGGGGAGGAGATTAGTAAAAGGGAGGGCTTTGGAAGGGATAGCTTGAACAAAGGCAGAGAGCTGGGAATATGCATAATATGTTAAACAGATAGTGAGAAGATTTCAGGTAAGGGAGTGATGAGTGACACAGTAGTGCAAGTGCTGAATTCGTGAGGGTTATTAAGTACTATGAAAAATAACTTGGACTTTATCTGTGGCCAATGGGAGCCAACTGAAAGTTTTTCATAGGCAGAGTCACATGGTAGGACAGTTGTTAGTATCACAAATCCTCAGGCTAAGGAGTGGTTCCAACAAACTTTCTTTTTTTTCTTCTCTTTTATATTCACCCTCTCCTCTCCTCTCATCCCTTTTTCATTTTTCACCCTAGCTTAGTCTTCCCTCTCCATTATCTTGGGCTAGCTCTAGAATAAGCAGGTAGCATAGAGACATTATAATGAGTCTACTTCAGGTGTTGTCTCTTGCCTAACCAGATTTGATTTCCTGACCACTGTCTTCATGGAAAATTTAGGTGTAACAAGAATTGTGACAAAACTGTAATGATAGAGCTATACCATGTGACTTACTTTAATACTGATACCAAGCAAAATGAGATAATGGAAACCTTTTCTCCTGGAATATGGAGAGATTTCTCTCAAGTGGCATAGCAAAGGACTAAGCTATCAATATAAACCATGGGCCAAGTTAAATATAGTTCCATTTTTAGCTCAATCTGTGACTAACCAAAACAATAGGACTGCATCCCTTAGTTTTTTCCCTTGATCCCCTCCTAAAGGATACTGTGATAAATAAGAGACTATTATGTGAAAACCAGTTTGCTGGAAAGTGTTACCAGCTTTTCTGTTTTTGGTGTCTAAGGAATTTAAAAACTGGTCAGCTCCTGAAAAAGATGCACATTGGTGATTCCTACCAAGCTTCCATCTGTCACAAAGCTTATTCTGAAATGGTAAGTAATGATCAGTTGGGACCACTCTGTATCTACTCTGAGTATTACTTTTGGTTGCACTGAATGAGAGCAGTAACTTAGTAAGTACTAATTAACAGGCCTTCCATGTTGCCTATCTTTTTCAAAATTGAATAGCATTGTTTGTTCTTTCTTGAAATTTATGGATGAAAATAAGTGTTGGTACAATATGATTGCTTGGTAAACTTTCTGGCTATATGACTTAAGGCCAAACATTTATTTCTGGCTGTGAATTTATTTATTTATTTTTTTAAATATTTTATTTATTTATTTTTAGAGAGAGGGGAAGGGAGGGAGAAAGAGGGAGAGAAACCTCGATGTGCAAGAGATAAGTTAATCACAATGTAGATGGAATTGGAGAATATTACGCTAAGTGAAATAAACCGGGTGGTGAAAGACAAATACTGTATGATCTCACCTGTAAGTAAAAGGTAATCAATAAAACAAACAAATGAGCAAAATAGAACCGGAAAAATGGAAATAAAGAACAATGACAAGATGTAAGGGAAGAGGGGGATAACAGGGGAAAGAAGGGGAAGGGGCAAGTCAAGGAACATGTATAAGGACCCATGGGCATGGACAACGGGATGGGGCTTGACTGTGTGAGTGGGGTGGGGGTGGGGGATGGGCGGGGCAGGGAATAGGTACAGGGGTTGGGGGGGAGTGGGACAACTGTAATTGAACAACAATTTTAAAAAAGAGGGAGACATCAATCAATTGCCTCTCGCATGCCCCAACTGGAATCTGGCCTGCAACCCAGGTATGTGCCCTGACTGGGAATCGAACTGGCGGCCTTTCGGTTCTCAGGCCAGCACCCAGTCCACTGAGCCACACCAGCCAGGGCTCTGGCTGTTAATTTATACTGAGAAATATTATGCCTGTTATCAGACTTGGCTCCCAACCATATCACCATAAATGAGGTATGATGTAAATGAATATCCTGAAGGAGAATGATTAAATGGCCATAGGCATGCTTTTCTCTTAGGCTTTAGGATTCTGTATATAAACAAACACATCCTACAGCCTCTTAGCCATTATTAAAAGCTTGGCATGTAGCCTGGTTTTAGCATCTGAACAGGCTGGAGTAGGGATGACTGCTTGATTGCATGAGTGTCCGCCATTGAGCCACAAGCTGAGGCAGTAGCAGTCAGTTTGGTGCCATGTGGAGACTGACTTGCCCAGCCTCAGGGATAACCTGCAAGCCTCAGCACATGGAGGCTCTGAACACAAAGGATGCATCTCTCCCTAGCCCAGTGGCATCTGTCTTGGGCATGAACTCAAAAATTTTGTGGTCTTCGGTAATCTGTTACATGGTCTTGAGGCTTACTATTCACCTTAAAGTAAGAGGTTGAATTCTTCTGTGGAATTATTAAATTTACCTTTAAATGTCATATCTTTGGTATTACAACATTAATACCTATTTAATTTTAAAAACATTTAGTGCAGAAATGGAAAAGATAGTAGGAGTTCCCCATGAAGCCAACCTTCAGAAACAGGAATTTATAGTTGAGTGCAGGAATCAGCAAACATTTCTGTAAGGGACAGACAGTAAATATTTTCAACTCTGCAGGCCACATGGTCTCTGCTGCAGCGACTTTGTCACTGTCACACAAAATCACCCAGAGATGATATAATTTTCACATCATAAAATAGCCTTCCTCTGTCTTTTTTCCAACCATTTCAAAGTATACAAACCATTCTTAACTCATGGGCTGTACAAAAATAATCCTTGAGCCAGATTTGACCTGTGGGCCATAGTTTGCCAACCCCTAGTTAAGTATATGACATTTAACATTTTTTTAACTCACAGTTATTTTCTAATTATACAGGTCATTTATTCTCATTACAAAAATCAGTCATTCTGGAAATGTGTAAGGTAGAAATGAGTGTTATTGATCCTAAGATGGCCCTATTATTAATTTCCCCTATTTCATCCCCGAAAATAATTATTTTCAATATGTACCATACTTATAGCCCTGACCAGTGTGACTCAGTTGGTTGGGCATCATGCAGCAAAGTGAAAGGTCACCAGTTCAATTCCCAGTCAGGGCAGATGTCTAGGTTGCCGGTTTGGTCCCTGGTGAGACATGTGCGAGAGGCAACTGATCAATGTTTCTCTCTTACATCGCTGGTTGCCCCTCTCTTTCTCTCTCCTTTACCCTCTTTCTAAAAATAAATAAAATTTTTATTTTAAAAATACACATAGACATATGTGTGTGCGTGTGACATTTCATACAATAATGTATTATTAGAATATGCCATTTTAAAGCTAGGAGAGATTTGTAATACATTTTCCTACAGAAACAACCATAGGTGACAATGTCCTTTTTTGTCACTCTTACTCTATAAATATAAGTTAATAAGCTGTTGTAGGCTGGCCTAAAAATCCAGTCACCACTTACAAAGTTGTTCTTATGGGAAAATGTGTTCTGAATTTTCAAAAACCAACTACAAATGAACATTTCTAGTTTGAAGACTCCCTTCATGAGTTTTTATGCTCTCTTTCCCTGGGCTAGCTTTTCCCCAAATGGATGGCATGGGTGTCAGTGGTGTCTAAGGTGGAGTGAATTGGTGTGTTAGCTAGATTCATGCCTGGAAAAAACTGGTTGAAAAATCACTGGGAGCCCTGTGCTGGAGAAGCAGGAAGTCCAGCTCAGTAATAATCTCAGCAGTGTCTGCCTGAAAAAGAAGGGAACCAGTGATGAAATCCTGGATCCTTATGAGTCTGTTGATCATGCCTGTGAGTCTTTAGTGTTGTCTCTGGCAGCCCTGCCTTTTTCTCACCATAGTCCTAATGATTTCCTTGGTTATTAATTTTTCTTCTAAATTAGGGGCTCCTTTTTGTTCTTTTGAGTCATCCGTGTGCCAAAAAGGAGGAGCCATCGGGAAGCCCTGTGTTCCAGCTTATTGTGATCAACCCCAAGACGGCCCTGAGCATGGGTGTGATGCTCTACTGTCTCCCTCAAGGACAGGCTGGGAGGCAAGTGTGTGACTGTTGGTCAGTGAGTGTGACCTTTTGAAAGGCACTTGTGCAAATATAAAAACCATATGTTTTTGTATCAGTTGGATGAATGGAAACATGAAATACTATATATTGATCAAAGAATGTAAAGAAGTAGAATGTTTAGTTGGGCTTAGTCAAACCTTAGGTTCCCTGTATCCTAATCCCACCAGCATGGCATTGGGTAAGTATTTTATGTGTATTCAAGCCCTGTTTTTTCCCCATAATGTTCTCTACAGAAAACTTAAAATTTGTTCTTTCCATTAAGAAAAGTTTTTAATATACTTTAGGAAGACTACTTTGAAATTTGACTGAGCCACCACCATGTCGGCAGTTAGTATTGATCTATTAATAAATATTTAGCTATTGACTAATGAGATCTGTCAGTGGCACTCTGCAAGGTTTTGGTGATATGGCAGTGAAGAATAACAACTCATTTTTATTAAGCACTTCCTGTGTGTTAGGTCCTATACTGTCAACTATTTCATTAAACTTCACAATAATCACCATGTCCCCATTTTACTGATGAAGTTAGGTAACTTGCCCAGAGTCACATGGCTCTTACTTTGTTAGAATTCAAAGCCAGGTAGCTGGCTGCAGAGCCCTGCCTTAAAAAAGAGAACCAGACTTCTGCCTTATGATTATACTGCTGTGGGAGAGATACCTACCAAATATGGAAATAGGATACTCTCACATTGTGAAAAGTGCCATGAAGATAAAAACAGATCATGTAAGAGAGAGAGAGAGAGAGAGAGAGAGAGAGAGAGAGAGAGAGAGCGCGCGCACTGCTCTAGACAGGTGATTAGGTATGACCTTTCTGCAGAGGCAATAGGCCTGAGTAATGAGAAAAGCCCAGCCACGCTAAGGTCTGGGGTTAGAGCTCTCCAAGGAAAGGAACTAGCAAGAGCAAAGACACTGAGGAGACTAGGTTTGGCCATGGTGAGCTAGGGTGCAAGGGGTACAAAATGCATCAAGAACTAGGTAGTCACTGCACATGGAATTATGTCTCAAACTGCAACACAGTAGCCAGAAGCCCTAGCATTGCAAATAGAGGCATTCATGGTATATTTCTTCTTGTTGCTTTGGGGAGCATGGTTTTGGGCCTTTTTTTTTTTTAATGTGTGATTTGAATCTTCTCTGCTTGATGTTAGGTTCCTGGAAGGTGACGTGAAGGATAATTTTGCAGCAGCAGTATTGACTTCTGGAACGATTGCCATTTGGGACTTATTTCTAGGTCATTGCACAGCTCTTCTTCCACCTGTCTCTAACCAGACCTGGTCTTTTGTTAAATGGTCAGGTACAGATTCTCATTTGCTGGCTGGACAAAAAGATGGAAACATATTTGTGTATCTAATAAGTTAGAGCAAGGTGAAAATACAGTGTTCTGGATATATTTGGTCTCCTAGTTCTTTCTGAAGTTATAAGAAAGGTATATGAATGACATTTAAAGTAATTACTTGTGTTCCAGATGGACTTTTTATTCTGATAGTAATGGCCTTACTGATCTGTAATGTTCATTTTTACATTGGGGAAAGGGACTTCAGGGAAGCTTCTGTAAATCTTGTCATTTGTACATTTGCTTTTAAAAGTGTATATAAAGCTTCAAATGTTAATATTTATTTTGCATGCTTTCCTTCCCAGGAGCATGCCCACACCTTTCTTCCCCCTTTCTTTCTCAGGCATGCTTTTTCTCCATAAGTTCTAGGGGCCCCCAAGAGACTTGCAACCAGGGGAGCAATGGGCAGCGGCAGCTCGTCCCAGGCAAACCCTCTGAACCTGACCCCCAGGCGCCCTTTTCTCTTACTCTCCAGTGAGCTGATAGCAGCTGAGCCCTGGCTCTCTTCCTTCTCATCACATTTCTAAAGAGCTAAAGCAGGCCTGCCTAAGCTCACTTCTTCTATCCTAAGTTTGTTTCACTGTCCCCAGCTTTAATAAATGTATTCTCAAAATAAAAAATAAATATTTATTTTGATACATTCTGCTTGGCGTATTATTTTTCCCATCCTATTAAGATCATTTTCAGAAACAAGTAATTATTTTACAACTAGAATAGGCGATGATATTTACATGGTAAGAGTAAAGTGGAGTTAACTTACTATACTAACATGCAATATATTTTTATGCCATTTGTAATGCTTTATTTCTACATACCTACTAAAAGTAATACAAGATTTTCCCTGGCTGGTGTGGCTCAGTGGACTGAGCGCCAGCCTGTGAACCAAAGGATCACCAATTTGATTCCCAGTGTAGCGCACATGCCTGGGTTTGCAGGCCAGGTCCCTGATGGGGGACACGTGAGAGGCAATCACACATTGATGTTTCTCTCCCTCTCTTTCTCCCTCTCTTCCCCTCTCTCTAAAAATAAATAAATAAAATCTTTTAAAAGAGTAATAGAAGATTTATTGAAATAATTTAGGAATAGTTCATTCCCACATGCATCTATGATACAAGTGTCTGTGTTATCACTGCACAGCTGTACTGGGCACATTATCTTCACTTTTACCTGAGTGATCTGAGAGAAGTTTTTAAAGTCCTAATCTGGTGGTGTCACTGGAAATTTTGTCCCAAGCTATAAGTATTTATTTGCCTAACATGCTTATTGAAAGTATATATTCATTATCTGTATAAAAAAGCATTTGCTGTATTACTTTTTTTATCCTAATCTGAGAATATGTTTATTGATTTTAGAAAGAGGAAGTTGGGGTGAGAGAAACAGTAATCAGTTGCCTCCCATACACGCTCTGACTAAGGATTGAATCTGTGACCTAGATATGTGCCCTAACTGGGAATCTAACCCACAACCTTTTGGTGTACAGGATGACACTCTAACCAACTGAGATACCCGGCCAGGGCTCTGTTACTTCTTTTTTAAAGATATCTTTTTATGCCCTGGCCGGTGTAGCTTAGTGGGTTGGGCACTGGGCTGCAAACCAAAAGGTCGCCGGTTTAGTTCCCAGTCAGGGCACATGCCTGGGTTGCAGGCCAGGTCTTGGGGGTAGGGGAGACATGTGACCAATAGATGTTTCTCTGTGTCTCTTTCTCCCCCCCACCCTCTCTTTAAAAAATCTTTTTTAAAAAGATACCTTTTTATAGTGTTACTGGTTTTTGCTAACTTAATTATTACCCTTTGATACATTTGTGTAAAAGATTTAACATTCCTATATTCTGTTCCTACAAGTGAGATCTTAACTTCACACGAGTGATAGTTTATTTGCTAGCACATCATAGATAATAGGTGGCTTTTCACAAAGATTTAATTGGCTCAAAAACCCTGAGAAACAAATTATGTTGATTTAAGAGTTAAGAAAACTGAGTAGAGCTAAGCCATAATTGCAATTCAGTAATGTTGAACAAACACTGGCACACATGACAGTGGGTATGAAGATGATTGCTGTGAGGCCACTGCTTTTTAGAAACACAGTCTACTGAGGGAGACTATGTGTAAAGCAATAAATTAAATACTGTGTTTTAAATTTAGAGGGTGTGTTCTGTGCTGCTATGGAAACAAAGGATGGGCAGTTACCACAATAGAGTGTTCAAGAAAAGCTTTGTGAAGGGCGACAACATAGCTGAGTCTTGCAGGGTAAGTCAGCACACAAGTAAAGGATATTCCAGTCAGGACAGTATGGTGTGAACCACAAACAACTCATAGCAGAGAAACAAAGCATAGAAAACTATGTTCCTTTGGGCTGGAAGGAGGGAGGGATAACTACTGGGTTGGTGGAGTCAGGAAGCTAGGGGTAGCCAGGGAGTTTATGAGACATGTTAACAAACCTGGGCTTTATTCTAGAAGTGAGGGGAGATTAGGAGGAAAAAGAAACAAGCAAAGCTGAATGAATGCAGGATTAAGTAGGAGGTGAAGGAGTTTTACATTTCTGGTTTAGTGGGCAATGGTGTCAGTAATGGAAATAGAAAACACACAAGGGGAAAAATAACTTTTGAGTGTTTATAGATCATCTGGTAATCAACAATGGACCCGGGGCTGTGAAGCTCACAGAGGAAGGCAGGGCTGGATGTAGGTGGGAATTAAAACCTCTGGAATGAAACAATTCTGAAACTTGTATTTTTAAAGTCAAGACGGGGTCAAGGATAGAGCCCTGAGGATCAATGTTTAAATGATGAGTGGAGATGTAGCCATGAAAAAGGCATGAGGTAGCCAGAAAGGAATGGCCAGAAAGATTATGAGACTTAATTTAAGATGTAGTAGTGAGCTTTATGACAAGCTTCAGTGGCTGTGCAAGTGGAGAGGTTGAAGAGGATCTAGATTTCAGTAGATTAAAAAGAGATCAGGAAGTGAGGAATTAAAGACTGAAAGTGTAGATTATTTTTTTCAAGGAGCTTCACTATTAAAGAAAGCAGGAGTGGTACTATTAGAGATATACGAAGGTCAGTCGATGAGGCCTCTGATCTTGTTTTCAGGCCAGGAGAAACCTCAGTATGCTCAAAGGAACAGAAAGAAAGGATAAAGATGTAAAGGAGAAGAGGTAACTAGAGGTACATAGTCCTGGGGGAAGGGGAGGGTATGAGACAATAGTGTAAATGGGCTGGAAGGAGGGAGGGATAACTACTGGGTTGGTGGGGTAATGTGTGCAGGAAGCAGACATAGTTTATGCTTATATATCTTTTGATGGGGGTGCTACTGATAAGCACCAGTGTCCTCTCTTAAATCTTCCCAACTGCTAAGGACATGATCTCAATCTTAATATTGAACCTTTTACCCCACAAACCACGTAGGCTGACATTTTCTCTTTGCTTGCTGAAGGGAAAAGTAGCTCTCCCAACATATGTCATTTAAATAACAGGTGATTTATTATGTTTGACCAAAAGGATTAAGTGGAACACACGAATATAGGTATGTCATGGGAAGACAGGGTCTCAAGTGTGGGCTTAGGAGGCTACCAGGCTCTCCCTGAATCCTCCGTCTTCTCTTAATGCTGTATGTCACCATCTGAGTCTGTCTCTTAAGTTTGCCCCAAAGGCTGACCAGGAAGGCATAGTCAGAGACTGGTGTGTTACTGTGACTTACACAGATATTATGGGCCCTGATCCTTGGTCTCCATTCAGATTTTTTGGTGCCAATCAGTTTTCCACAGAAATGGAAGGTTGCCCCTCAAAATGGAGCTTGGCCATTTATTCATTGACCATTCCAAAGAGGTGGTACAATTTCTCTTCCAATTGCTTAATAAACAGTGAAATTGGTGATGATTAAATCAGGGTGCAGGAGAAACCTAGTGTCAACTGCTAGCACTGCTATAGAGACAGATCAGCATCACCAACAGCGGGATGATTCCTGAGGTTGTTTCCCCTCCCGATTGATTAAATCAAATATGCCTCCTAAAAGTGGCCTTCAGGGACTACCTTACCTAAAATAACTCACATCCTGTAATCCCTCACTATTCCCTTCCCTGCTTTATTACTCTTCCTCACATCACTATTTGCTGGAGTTGGGATTGGGGGTGGTGGTGTATATTTTTATTTGTTTATTGTCTGTCTTCCCACTGGAAAGTAAACTCTACGGGAACAGATTGCCTGTCTGGCTTCCTCAACAACTAGCACATAGCAGATACTCAATTTTTTTAGTGAACACATAAATAGAAATAATTTTACAACAGTGGGATCATAGTACACATTCTATTTTAAATGAAAGGAATTATACTTTATTTTACTTAAATTTAACAAAAATAAAAGAAAGAAACATGTAAAACTGAAGCCATTGTTGGATTGTCCATCCAGGCAGTTTTGGAGTTTGGAGTTATATGTATGGATTTCAATATCTTTGGGCTCCCTGCAAAGAAATGTGAGCAAATTAGCAGTAAAACTTCCCCGATGAACCCATTTTTATGAGCTATATTATTTATACATTGTTAAGTTTAAAACATGTATATGGCTTTTATTGTATTTCCATGTTTATTAGTTTAATCGACTCATTTTCACATTCTTATACTGAGTTTAGACCTTTTAAATAATTTTAATTACTATAAAAGAAACGCGGCATCAAAATGTTTAAATAAATGTATTCCAGAACTTTCGAAGGATAAGTGAAAATAAGTTCCTTTCTCATATCAGTGATTAGTGTTTAGGGAATCTGGCCCTAGCTGCCATTTGCCTTCGGACGGGAATAGCTGGGCCACGTTCCCCGAGGGCGCAGTGCCGCTAGGGGCCGCCAGGGGCCGCCACCGCCGGGCGGGGCTCGGCAGCGCCGCTCTGTGCGTCGTCCGCGCCGAACCGGAGAGGAAATTAGACCCGCGGGCGCCGCGCAGTGCAGCCTGGGTCGGCGTAGCCATGGCGGCTCGTGTCCTTCGCTCCTGTGTCCGCCGACTGCCCGCGGCCTTGGGGTCGCTGCCCCGGTTTCCCACGTTGGC